CCCCCTCTCTTAAGGAAGGTGATCAACATCGGGAACGCCTTTTCGGGTCAAATAAGATTTGAGCACCGAGTGTTCCTGAATCGAGTCGGAAGTGACCCATGTGTCGTCTTCACTTGTACGGTCGACCCAGCGGACAAGAAAATCCACGTGTCGTCCGGTTGAGTCGAGGCGGACGCGATGACTCAAAAGCCGGAAAGGCTCAAGGGTCGGTTCAGCCAGTGGGCGGATACTGGGGGCGGCCGCTGGTCGTGCGACTGTAGACGTGATGGCGATGTAGGGACGAAGCGGACTGACGTGGAAGGCGTCGTGAATGCGCCACTCGTCCGGGAGTAATAAATTCGCTGTGACAGGTGTCGCCATCTTGACAATACGAAAAGGGCCACAGAATTTCGGGCGGAGTTTTGAAGGCAGAGGCAATCGAAGGTTCTTCGTGTCGAGGAGGACTAGTTGCCCAGCGGCCATCGTGATATCGCGGCGATGAAGGTCTGTATAGCGTCGAGCGGTTGTGTTGGACTTGCGAATGAATTCGATCGCTTTATCCCGGGCAGCTTGCAAACTGGTCACGAACTGCTAGGAACGTGGCACCGGGTTGTCGATGTGGGTAGTCGTCGAGACAGTCGGGTCCATCCCGTATTTTAGGAAAAACGGCGAGTGATTGGTCATAGCAGATGGGGCATTGTTGTAGGAAAATTCCCGCATGGGCAGGAATTCTTCCCACCGGGCAGGATCTGGGCAGTTGGTGCGTATCAGCTGCTCCATGGTTTTATTGGTTTGCTCGGTCTGGCCGTCGGTTTGAGGATGGTAGGCGGAGGAAAATTGGAGGCGTGTGCCGTACTGGGCCCATGTCTCTTGCCAGAACTTGGACATGATTGCGGATGGTAAGCTGTGCAAACGAACAAAGGTGGAGATGAAAAGTTTCGTTGTATCCTCGGCTGTGATTGTTGTGCGACAGGGTGCGAAATGCCCCATTTTCGTCAGACGATCGACGACGATGAGGACGGCGTCGTTGCCCATTGCGGTTGCCGGGAGTCCCGTGATGAATTCCATCGTCACGTGTTGCCACGACCGCTGGGGTGGCTCGAGCGGCTGCAGCAGTCCAGCTGGCCGCTGTCGAGAAGACTTCATGCGTTGGCAGATCGGGCACGCGGATACGTATCGCTGCACATCAGACGCCGAATCAGGCCAATAATAAAAACGGTGAAGTAACTTCTGGGTTTTGTCAATCCCGAAATGACCGGAGAGGTTAGAATCATGGACTTCTTGAATAAGTAATTCGCGGAGGAGTCTGTAGGCGGGAACCCAGATACGGTCAGTACCAGCTTTTAGGAAGTAGGGTCCTTTGGCTGTGGTGGTTTGCTAATGGAGGTTGCGGGTGAAAAAGGGATCTATGGTATAGCCGTGGGTAAATGGTCCAGTGAGCAACGGGTTGGATTTTGCGACGATGATGGAGGCGAGGTGGGCGGACGGTCGTGTTAGTGCATCGGCGATGTTATTCGCCCCACGTTTGTACATGATGGTGTAGTGGAAGTTGCTTTCGAGGAAGTCCAGCCAGCGAATCTGCCGTGGATTGAGGTTCGGCTGCGCGCGGAGGTACTGTAGGGATTTATGGTTTGTCCGTACTGTCACTTCGGCTCCCGTCAGGTAGCATCGCCACACCTTGAATGCGTGCACGATGGCGAGCATTTCTTTGTCGTCGACGGGGTAGTTGCGCTCGGCTGCCTGCAACTTCCTAGACTCATACGCGATTGGTTGGAGTCCTTCGCCGAAATCTTGTAACGGTATCGCACCGATGGCGAAATCGCTAGCGTCCGTCAAGTCTTCGAACGGTTGAGATGGGTCGGCGAATCGGAGGACCGGGGGTGACGTCAGAAAATTTCACAGTTCGTCGAAAGCAGTTTGCTGTCTCTCCCCCCACGCAAACAAAGTGCCTTTCCGCAGCAGGTCAGTCAACGGTCCGGTTATCCCGGCCATATTGGGGATAAACCGTCGGACATAATTGACGAACCCAAGAAAACTCTGCAGCTCCTGTAAATTCGTCGGCGGCTTCCAGTCGCGGATCGTTGTGATTTTCTTCCAGTCGATTTTGATGCCGTCCGCTCCCACGACATGTCCCAAAAATTCCTGTTCGGATTTTAGGAACTTGCACTTAGAGCCCTTCGTGATGAGCCGGTGTTCTTGCAGTCGCTGGAAAACTTGCTCAAGGTCCTTGAGGTGCTGTTCCTGTATTGAATATCGAAATGCAGGACCCAGTGGTGGCTGACTCAACCCGAACTCACGGAGTTGCGAAGCCACCTGGACTACCTCTTGGAGAAAGGGTTCATTCGGCCCAGCACGTCCCCGTTCGCAGCACCAATCCTGTTCACGCCCAAAAAAGACGGCGGGCTGCGCATGTGCATCGACTACAGGGCGCTGAATCAGCGAACCATCAAGTCCCGCTACCCAATCCCACGCGCGGACGATCTTCTCGATCAACTTCACGGAGCTCGCTTCTTCTCGAAAATCGACCTACGCGGCGGTTACCATCAGATCCGAGTCTCCGCTAACGACTGCCACAAGACGGCGTTCCGAACCCGCGATGGCAGCTACGAGTACACAGTGATGCCGTTTGGCCTCACGAACGCGCCCTCCACTTTCCAACTCACCATGAACGGCGTATTCCGAGATCTCCTCGACAAGTGTGTCATCGTCTATCTGGATGACATTCTGATCTATAGCAACTCGTATTGAATATCGAAATGCAGCCCGCTAACGTATTTGTCCCGTCTTTCCGCTTCGCTGAGGTCGTCGACTTGGTCCGCAAGTGCCGAGAACGACGCAGTGTAATCTTGAACAGTAGTCACCTGCCGCCAGTTGCGCAGCTTCATGCGAGCGTCGTCTGAGGCGGATGAGTGCTCAAAACGAGCTCGCAGAGCTCTGCCCCACTGTTTCCACGTGCGAATCGTGGTCGTACCGAATATTGTTTCTGCCTGTTGGTTTGAAGAGTCCGAAGTCCCGTCCTTCGCCTGCTTCACTCCTGCCGGAGTCCCAATCGCCAACTGTCGCCGCCACCAATCCAACGCCGGTCCTCGGAGCAGCGACACGGCATAATTAACGCGCGCGTCATCCGTGTGCACACTTGCCGCCGTGAAGAATAGCTCCATGCTGAACAGCCACCCTTGCACCGTCGTCGCCTCGTCCAAAGGGTTGAACGAGGGCGGTGTTGCTGGCTTGAGTTTAATCTTCGTTACAGTCACAGTGCGCACGTCGTCCTGCTCCAACTCCCGTGCGAGCTCGTCAAGGACGGTTTCACTTGCTGCGTCGTCGGCACCTTGCTTGACCTCGTCTTCGGCGACTCCAGGCGACTCCTGACGCGCTCCACCACGCGTCTGGCGAAGCTCGGTGTTCTCCGTCCGAAGTCTTACGACTTCACTGTTCAAACTCGCCATCTGGGCTTGCATTGCCTGCATCTGAGCCATGACCTCGTTTAGCTGGGCCTAGGACATGATGTGAATGCTACGCCTTTCGGGCAGGAGGAAGGCCGTGGTAAGAAACCGTAAGGGGCGCAAACGCTATCGTAGTTGTGTGAGCTAATAACTCTAGCTCACGGACAACCGCTTTGCAGCCCCGCAGGGTTAACCACGCCTTGGGAATAAACTACCCTGAGAAAGCGGGGTGAACCAGGAAAGTAGCTCTGATACCAGATGTTATGAATAATAACTGAGAGTGCGCGGAATAATAATGACGAGTACAAGAATGCTAGCCTAGCATTATTTAGCGAGAGCTCTAGCTAGGCGACGAAGCCAGAGGGCTAGGTTGGGTACAGGCGCGGTCGAAAGGATCGAAGGCGATGCGGACGTGCCACGGGGTCGCATCGGAAACGGACCGAGCCTGGTGTTCCGAGAGTTCGGGTGTACGCGATTGCTGTAAAACCCGCTAAGGAATAAAATTTTATGCTGTTCATTTTGGATTTGCATTGAAGAGTAAGTTCGAAATACTGTTCATATCAGTGCTCCGAAATGTGAAACCAATTTTATAGGGTTGCTACGCAACCCAATTAGCTTCTTCTGGAGTACAGTTCCATTACGGTACAGTAGCATTATTCCCCCTTCCACAAAAGGTTTTGCTGCAGTGCCGGCTTTCCCGCTTCCACTCACTTTCACCGCCACAGCCTACACCCAGCTTCGTTCGTGCCGCGCAAACGCAAACCCCCGTCGAATGTCCACTATTGGTCCATACCTCTCCGTCACGTTGCCCTGCCTCGTCTCTGCCCTGGCTCAAGGCACTCTGCATTACCGTACTCCAACCATCAAAGTTCCGGTCCCGTCCTTACATGGGGTGTCTCAGGGCGTGTCCAGCGACTTCTTTTCGCCCCAACACGAGTTCTGAAGTTTTTTAAACATGCCGAAATATTGAAGCGCCAAGTGTAAACGTGTTGAGGTACACCGACAGTCTCAACAGCAGAACGCGCGGACACGTGTCCCGCCCGTGTCTCGACAAATGAGCGGGTGCGCAGCGCGCACATAACAGCCTGACACGCGAAAACAGCAGGGTAACCGAATGCCGCCCCTGGAAAGAGGCCCCACACGGTGCGTCGCATGCGTCACGAAAGCCTGGCAAATATAAGCGTTATAGTTTTCGCCAGCCAGGATTTGGACGTTTCTGCCGTGTGTATAATTTGGGCACGATCTCCATTCGGTTTGGAAACGTGCGGCCCACGTATGTGGGCCCGTTTGGAGGGTGTCCGCCAAAACCTTCAATTTCTCGTGCGTTTCCCAATGGACAAGAAATTTCGGGTTACCAGCTAAAAATTTCGTACCTGATATGCAACCAACGCGCTGGACACGCCCTCAGATAGGAGATGCAACGACGAAAGTGAATCAACCGGCACTCTCCCTCCCTCTCCTCCCAATGCAGTACCAACGCGAGCGCACGTGGCGCAACCTCCTCTCTTCCCTCTCCCACCCTCCCTCCAGTAGAATCTGGGCTCCTGGTACTATTGGAGGGTCTATGGTGTATCACATATAATTGAGAGTGAGACAGCTGTTCTCCCTACAGCTGTACTTACACTCTGACCAAGGCCTCACACTACACATTACTTTATCTTGCTGTCGCACTAGGAGCGTGTCGAGGAGCAGGAGGAAGGCTCCTCCCCGCAATTCCAGGCAGCTCTGACGCTGTCAAACGCATGACATAGCCTCTCCTCTCGATGCGCATCCTAGCGGCTCATTCGCTCCGCCTCTTACGCGGCTGGCCTCACCCAAGCAAATTTCGAGCATTCCCTCCTAGGCCTCCATTATTGCTGACAGTCTCCCTTCCCCGCTTTTGCCTCTTTCCTCGCTGCGCTCGTCCGCATTCCCCGCTCCTCCGGTCAACCCGTCGTTTCCAAGGCAATAATTTAGTATTGCCTTGCTAGAACTGCTTCCTCCCTACGACTTGTTCATCCGCTTGACTCCCCGCGGACTCCCCGCGGACTTCCCGCGGACTCTCCGCGGGCTCTCCGCTTGACTCTCCGCGTCTCACGGCAGCGTCAGCGGGAAGCCTCACCTCCCGTTTTCGATCGTCCCCCTGCTCTGATCCGCGTTCATGTCGGCGCGTTCTTCTATCGCGCGCACTTCTATCGCGCGCTCCTCTCTGGCCTTTTTCTAGTTTTGAGGAGTCTCGCGATGCGTTTCGCTGCTCGCCCGCATCTCCCGGCAGCATCGTATCTCGATAGCGGGGGACCGCATCCCCCTTTTCCGCGCAGTTCGCAGTGAACCTCTCCGCGCATCCGCGTTTACTCCGTCCGCGTTTATAGCGTCCGCGTTTATAGCGTCCCCCGCAAACCCCGGCCGTTTCGTCAGCCTCTCGGCAGGCTGCCTCGTCCTAACGTACTTCGTCTCTCCAGCTTTCCACGACTATGTAACACTACTACTAGTAGTAAACGAAATCGCCTGACCTCCTCGCCCTGCTGTTCCTTTTTCCATCCATCCTCTCTCCTCGTCATCGACTTCTAGTGGACGGAATTGCCTGGCCTCCTTATCCTCATCGCCCTCCTCACTCCTCCTTACTCCTCCTCACTCCTCCATGAACGCCGAGAATCCCGCAGTTGGTTTTATTATTATTTATTACCTACTAACTGACCGAATCTGAGCTTTATTTTACCTTTGAAGAACGCGGGATCGACTGTCGCGGCTCGGACGACCAGCCGACGACTGGCTGACGCTCTTTTGCCATCCGCGCTTTTGCCATCCGCGCTACCCGCTAACGTGACAAACTGCGGCGAAGCTCGTACCGACCTGACGCAGAGCCTTCGGCTTCCGCAAATCGCGCCACAGGAGTCTGCTACGCGCTACTCGCTAACGACGCGTGTCGTCCGACACCCTTTTTCGCGGGTTTTTGCGGAGAATCCGCTCTGCTTTTGAGCCCGCGTGCCGGCGGGATTTCGCTCTGCTTTGCGTTTGACAACGGGGAATCCGCTCTGCCTTTGAGCCTACTCGAAGAGGAATCCGCTCTGCCTTTGAGTCTATTCGAAGAGGAATCCGCTTTGCTCCTTGCCCGCGAGTCACTCCGATTCTTCCCGCCGCTCACTCCAGCCATGGCGACTCCGGTGCCGCGCCGACCTTCCCTTCTCGCGCTCGTCACTCGTACGTCTTGCTTCCTTCGCTCCCCTGCCCTCCCTCGTCGCTCGTACGTTTCGTCCTGCTCCTTTCTCCCCTCGTCGCTCGTGCGTCCCGCTCCCGTCCCTCCTCGTCGCCCGACACGTCCTGTCCTTCCTGCTCTCTCTTTTCTGCCGTCGTTCGGGTTGCTCTCTCCCTTTCACCCCCCTTCCCATTCCCGTCGATTCCTCCGTTCAAAAATTCCCTTTCCCCCGCCCCCATTTTTTTTCTTCCTGCCCGCGTGCAGTCCTCGCTGTTCTCCTCCCGGCCGTCCTTGCGCGGAAGCTTCTCCAGGACATCCTGTACACAGTCAACGATGACGTCATCGGTGCGTTCCCTTGGCCTGCTTCCCCCTCTCCAAGTTGTCCTCTCCTCTCTCTTCTCCGCTTCCTCTAGGCCTGCTTCCTGCCTCCTCTCTCTTCTTCGCTTCCTCTAGGCCTGCTTCCTGCCTCCTCTCTCTTCTCCGCTTCCTCTAGGCCTGCTTCCTGCCTCCTCTCTCTTCTCCGCTCTCTAGGCCTGCGTCCTGCCTCCTCTCTCTTCTCCGCTTCCTCTAGGCCTGCTTCCTGCCTCCTCTCTTCTCTCCGCTTCCTCTAGGCCTGCTTCCTGCCTCCTCTCTCTTCTCCGCTTCCTCTAGGCCTGCTTCCTGCCTCCTCTCTCTTCTCCGCTTCCTCTAGGCCTGCTTCCTGCCTCCTCTCTCTTCTCCGCTCTCTAGGCCTGCGTCCTGCCTCCTCTCTCTTCTCCGCTTCCTCTAGGCCTGCTTCCTGCCTCCTCTCTCTTCTCCGCTTCCTCTAGGCCTGCTTCCTGCCTCCTCTCTCTTCTCCGCTTCCTCTAGGCCTGCTTCCTGCCTCCTCTCTTCTCCGCTTCCTCTAGGCCTGCTTCCTGCCTCCTCTCTCTTCTCCGCTTCCCCTAGGCCTGCTCCCTGCCTCCTCTGTCTTATCCGCTTCCTCTAGGCCTGCTTCCTGCCTCCTCTCTCTCATCCGCTTCCTCTAGGCCTGCTTCCTGCCTCCTCTCTCTCATCCGCTTCCTCTAGGCCTGCTTCCTGCCTCCTCTCTCTTCTCCGCTTCCCCTAGGCCTGCTCCCTGCCTCCTCTGTCTTATCCGCTTCCTCTAGGCCTGCTTCCTGCCTCCTCTCTCTCATCCGCTTCCTCTAGGCCTGCTTCCTGCCTCCTCTCTCTCATCCGCTTCCTCTAGGCCTGCTTCCTGCCTCCTCTCTCTTCTCCGCTTCCCCTAGGCCTGCTCCCTGCCTCCTCTGTCTTATCCGCTTCCTCTAGGCCTGCTTCCTGCCTCCTCTCTCTCATCCGCTTCCTCTAGGCCTGCTTCCTGCCTCCTCTCTCTCATCCGCTTCCTCTAGGCCTGCTTCCTGCCTCCTCTCTCTTCTCCGCTTCCTCTAGGCCTGCTCCCTGCCTCCTCTGTCTTATCCGCTTCCTCTAGGCCTGCTTCCTGCCTCCTCTCTATCTCCTTCCCTTTTCCCCCCCCACAACCCCCTCCCTCCCCTTTCCCTCCCTCCGCTTCCCCCCCACCCCCTCCCCTTCCCCTTCCCCCTCCCCTTCCCCTTCCCCCTCCCCCTCCCCTTCCCCTTCCCCCTCCCCCTCTGCTTCCCCCTCACCGACTCGTAGCCAATGAGCACATATCCCACTGATTCCTAATCAACTCGTATCCCAATTCCCTGCTTCTTATCCGTCCTCTCTTTTAGGTGTATGTTGAGTCGACTCAAAATACTCCTTTCTCGCTGTTCCTCTCTTTCTTTCCTCTTCTCCCTCGCTCGCTTTTCTCTCCTCCCTCACTCGCTTTCCTCTACTCCCTCGCTCGCTTTTCTCTTCTCCCTCACTCGCTTTCCTCTACTCCCTCACTCGCTTTCCTCTACTCCCTCACTCGCTTTCCTCTACTCCCTCTCTCCTTTCCTCTACTCCCTCACTCGCTTTCCTCTACTCCCTCACTCGCTTTCCTCTACTCCCTCACTCGCTTTCCTCTACTCCCTCACTCGCTTTCCTCTACTCCCTCACTCGCTTTCGTCTACTCCCTCACTCGCTTTCGTCTACTCCCTCACTCGCTTTCGTCTACTCCCTCACTCGCTTTCCTCTACTCCCTCACTCGCTTTCCTCTACTCCCTCACTCGCTTTCCTCTACTCCCTCACTCGCTTTCCTCTACTCCCTCACTCGCTTTCCTCTACTCCCTCACTCGCTTCCTCTACTCCCTCACTCGCTTTCCTCTTCTCCCTCACTCGCTTTCCTCTACTCCCTCACTCGCTTTCCTCTACTCCCTCACTCGCTTTCCTCTACTCCCTCACTCGCTTTCCTCTACTCCCTCACTCGCTTTCCTCCAACCCCTCACTCCCTTCCTCGTGGCCTGCCTTCCGCCTCTAGGCTCATTCTGCGAGGTGATCGTCGGCTCGCCATCGGACCCCTTTTCTTCGGTCGATGTCTGTCTGAAAGTGCACCAGTGAGTGGTCGATACCTCCCCTCGGCTCTTTCTCCCCCTCTCCCTCGGCTCTTTTCCATCCTCCTGTTCTCTCCCAGCTGCCCTCAACTGCTCAACTGTCCAACAGCCCAACAGCCCAACAGCCCAACAGCCCAACAACCCAACAGCCCAGCACCTTAAACTAAATATTCGTTTTTTTTAGCACAAATCTTTTCTCCCCCTGTTCCCCTTGCTCTCTCCCACCCTGCTGCTTCCACCCAACAGCCCAACAGCCAACGCCTTAAGCCACATTTTCATTTTCTTGAGCGCATATCCTTTTCTCCTTTCTATATCCCTCCCCCCGATTCCCCGGCTCTTTCCCACCCTTTTGTTCCACACACCCCTTCTAGAGGAGCAGCATAAGCCACATGGTGACTTCATAACCCTGTGGGAGCATGTGTTCTCTTCTCCTCTCTCCCTCTTCCCCTCTCGCCTTTGCTCTTTCCCACCCTTCTGTTCAAAGCGCCCCCCCAAGCCCAACAGCCCAACAGCCCAACCCCAACAGCCCAACAGCCCAACCCCAACAGCCCAACAGCCTCCCCAGCCCAACACCCCCCCCAGCCCAACAGCCCAACACCTTATGCCACATTTCATTCTCTAGAGCGCATTGTCTTCCATCCTTTCTCTTTCGTCCCCCGTCCCCACTGCTCTCTCCCACACTCCTGTTCCAGACACCCCTCTCAGCGCAACATCATGAGCCAAATGGTGACTTCAGAAGCCTATGGAAGCCTTTTCTCCCCTCTCTTTCTTCACCTCTTGACTTGGCGGTTTTCCTCCCAGCACAACACTATACACCACGTGGACTTCACAACCCTATGGAGCATGTAACCGTTTCTCCTCTCTCTTGCTTCACCTCGTGCCTTCCCCCCCTCCTGTTCCCGCTGCTTTCTCCCCCTCTTATTCCAGGCACCCCTCACAGCGCAACACTATAAGCCACATGGTGATTTCATAACCCTGTGGGAGCTTGTAGCCTTTTCTCCTCTCTTTCTTCACTTGTCTTTGCTCCTTCCCACCCTGTTCCCCCTGCTTTCTCCCCCTCTCTTATTCCAGGCACCCCTCCCAGCACAACACTATAAGCCACATGGACTTTATAGCCCTGGTCGAAGGGGTAACTTCTGCTTCCACCCCGTCCCCTCCCACCATCTCCCTAACCGAATCTCATACAGTCACAGTCCCCTGCAATCACTACGAATCCGAGCCATATCCTTACATTGAAGGGAGCTTGCTCTACCGATGTGAGCAGAACATTCCCAAGGAAGCACAGCGTGTGATTCTAGAGGGGCTAGATGAAAGCCCGCTTCCTATAGTCACATTTAAAGTGGGGGATACTCCTGTTAGGATAACTTTATCCCACTCAGTGGTTATTTACTAAGAGTGTGCTCCTACCAGCCTCTTCCCAAGCAACCTCTTCCCAGACTCGCGTGCTGCTACAGTGTCGCAAATTTTGACGCGAAATGTTTCAGTGCGATTCCGCGTAGTGTGAAGTGAGCTTCGGCTTCCCGAGATTCAGGGGCGTGTTTTGAAACCTCTTTTCAGACTAGCAGATTTCCAGACAAGCGCGAATCTGCACAGTTAAATTTCGACGCCAGCTGGTTTTATGTGGTTGAGAGTGATGGAACGCATATATGAAACGGGAGTATTCCGAAAATTGGTCCTGGGAACACGCTCTCAAGGTCACGCGTGAGTCTGGGAAGAGGTTGCCGGGGAAGAGGCTCGTAGGAACACGCTCGTACGTTTCTGGGGATAGGGGCAGGGGCTGCTTTTAAATCTGGGTGTTGTGCTGCCTTGTTCCTTCAGGCCCTTTTGTTCTTTGGGCTGTCCTGATTTCGATCCTGTGTTCATTGTGCCTTGTAATATGCTTAATATATTAAACCGGTACCCAACTCCAAGGTGAAATCGTCATGGTACTCTGACTTTTAAGGGTACCCCAAAACCAATCTCTAACCCTGGAAGAACTAGAGCCTAGTTGGTGCCTTTTTAGACGACTCAAAAGTCACGTCTTCACAATGAGGTGCACAGGAACTAGAGCCTATCAGCAGACCTAAGAGCTGCTAGCATTCACACAGCCGGCATGGCATGGCCCACAGAATCGGTGCAGGAAGTGGGAAGAGGATCCACTGTTGCTGCCGATGGTGCCAAATTGAATGCGCTGTAGAGCACCTGACCTGAACCCAATCCCTGAGCTGCATTTAGGTGGCCTGCATGGCGCGCAGAATGGCACCTCTATCGAAGCTGCAATTTACCCTTTTGGTGCAGGGAGGGAGAAGAGGAGCCACCGTTGCTGCTGCTGCTGCTGCTGCTGCTGGTACCAAAATCAAAGCGTTGTACTGGCAACTGGGCCTGTACCTGCCAGCAGTCAAGTGGCTTGCTGCATGGCGCGCTGAATGGCACCTCTATCGAAGCTGAAATTCACCCACTCCGTGCAGGGAGGTAGAAGAGTCGTCACTGTTGCTGCTGATGGTCCTGCTGCAGCTTCTAGGGCTGCTGGCGTTACCAGAGAATGCGGCTGCTGTTGCTGCTGCTGCTGTTGTTGCTGAAGTAGGCTTTGTCGTGGGAGGGTGCCAGGTGGCAGCCTGAGGATCCCTGCCCGGCTGCCACCTGGCAAGAGGCTGGATGATGCTGCTGACGTGGACAGGGGGGAAGAATCTGCCGGAAACAGCTGCTTCCTGGCTGCCCCGTGGCGGGATGAGACTGGATGGTGGAGAGAGGAGGGGGAGGCGGAGGGAATGTGAGGGAGAGCGGTGGTGGTTGGGACGGTGGAATGAGCAGTGCCTGTAGAGGCAGTGCTGGAAGCTGCAGCAGCAGCAACAGCAGTGGCAGCGGAAGGAAGGGTAGGGACGAGAGTGGGGCGAGGATGAGTGATCTGAGCGTGAGTGGTTTGCAAGTGAGGGGTTGGAAGGTGGGTGGAAGATGAGTGGATTGCGGTTTGAGGGGAGGAGGGCAGAACACTGCTGGTCTTCCACACAGAGATGATGCTTCCTGGAACGTTCTGCGGCATCATGTGCACTGCCAGCTGCCTCGTGTCGGCCGTGTGATGGCGGTCGATCCACTCGAGGAGGGGTCTGTGGGCGGTTAAGGAGGACAATGAACGGAGGGGAGGAAGGGAAGGGATTGGATGACGTTCTGCGGCATTATCATCATCATTATCATCATCATAATCATCATCATTGTTGTCGACATCATCAGCAGCATTGCAAGCTGTTCCGTGTCGGCCATGGGATGGCGGTCGATCCACTTGAGGAGGGGCCTGTTGAGGGGGAAGGAAGGGAGGGAAGAGAGGGGAGTTGGTGGAGAGGGGAGTTGGTGGAGTGGGGAGTTGGTGGAGTGGGGAGTTGGTGGAGTGGGGAGTTGGTGGAGTGGGGAGTTGGTGGAGTGGGGAGTTGGTGGAGTGGGGAGTTGGTGGAGTGGGGAGTTGGTGGAGTGGGGAGTTGGTGGAGTGGGGAGTATACCGAGGGAGATACGACGACAAACACCATGCTCTTCTAGCACCACAGCAAGATGCCTGGTGTCGGCCCGTGTGATGGTGGTCGATCCACTCGAGAAGCAATTTGTTAGGGGGGCGAGAGTCAGGAGAATGGGAGGCGGAGTAAGGGTGGGGCGCCAGCTGCCAGCTGTCTCGTGTTGGGCGAGATGACTTTTGAGTCAACTCAAAAGTCATCTGAGCACAGTGCATGGCGATGATCCAGTTGCCAGGAGCATCTTCTATGGTCTGACTTATTTGTGGACGGTTTTGGCGAGCAGTATGTCGTTATTTTATCCAGGCTTGACAGACTTTATCTTAGATGTTGTCACTCCATCCTCCCCATCTCACGCTGCCCGCAAACCCCTTCCCTCCCCTACTTTTTTGCACATGCATCCTGTCCTCTTCCCATCCTCTCTTTCACACAACCCCTAACCCATGTTCTTGTGTTGCCACGTTCCTACCACTGCTGTGCGTTCGTGCCACTGAACTGAACTCTACTGGACCACACTCCATCATCCTGCACCCCCACCAGTTCTGAAGATACTTGAAGAAACGTCAGAGGATGATGAGGTGCTGGAAGATTCTGACGGCACGTGAAGGAAGATGGAGAGCAATAACGAACTTCCCAGCACGTCATCATCCCCTGCTGTTTCTTCAAGAATCTTCACTGCTAGGGGTGCAAGATGGTGGAGTGCGGTGCAAAAGAGTTCAGTTTAATGGCACGGATGTATAACAGTGGTAGGAACGCGACAACACAAGAACATGGGTCAAGGAGTGAGTGGAAAAAGGGATGGAAGAAGACAGGACGCAAGTTTTGAGGCGCCTCAAAACGGAAGAAGACAGGACGCGTGTGCAAAAGAAGGGGAAGGAACGGGTTTGGGTGCAGAGTGGGATGGGGAGGAGGGAGTGACCGTGGGTCAACTGTCGCCTGGATATAATAACGACTTACTACTCAACAAAACCATCCAGAAATAAGTCGGACCACTGAAGATGCTCCTGGCATGAGGGCATCACAAAAAACTATCAGGACGGCTGCCAGTTGTGTTGTGTCAAACGTGTGGTGGCAAGTGATACACTCCAGCAGGGGTATGTTTGGGGGGGAGGGGGAAAGAGTGGAGAAGGGTAGTGCGTGGGCCGTGTGGTGGCTGGCGATCCACTCGAGGAGCTATATGCTCACTGGCAGCGGGCCAGAGGAGGACTGGCGGGGTTGGAAGGAGAGAGGAGAGGGGGGGAGGAAAGAGGGGGTGGGGGGGTGGAGAGTGGGGCAAGTGCATTGAAGTCCGGCAAGAAAGGCAAGTTTGTAGGCCGTGTGGCGGTGGGCGATCCAGTCTAGCAATGACCATTGGGGGGTGGGGGAGAGAGACTATTGGGATTGGAGGGAGGAGAAGTGCTGCTGATCGCAACTGAGCTGCCTCGTGTCGAGGATGTGGTGGCTGGCACCTCACAAAGGGCTGCACCATGACGAGCTTTGCCCCGCTGACAGCTTGAGAGACGGGCAGGGCTCCATCGCACTGAGCTGGCGCCGAGTCATATACGACCAGAGGGTTAAGTGCAAAGAGAAACACATATGTGCGGGGAGGACATAGGCACAAGACGCACCTGACAAACGGTTGCACCATGAAGAGCTTTGCCCCACTGACGGCCCGAGAGACGGGCAGAGCTCCGTCGCACTGAGCTGACGCCAAGTCACAGATGAGATGCCACGCAATTTCCTGGAAGGAGAAAGAAGCAAGGAGAAAGAAGTACAATGAACACTAATTCCGAACAGCATTGTCATATGTCAAAAGCCCCTCATGTTACAAGCCCCTCATGTTACAAGCCCCTCATGTTACAAGCCCCTCATGTTACAAGCCCCTCATTCACCCACCCTGGACATTCTCAATCCATTTCTTAGCACCCACATGAAAAACCACCCTGAAAATAATAGATCCACGCAAAATGCCAGGCGCTACCTAACAGCATTGCATAACCCTCGCTTGACATCGATTGAACTCACACTAATTTCTTTAACTGTTTGTGGCTGGAACTTTGCAGTGCGGGAGTCAACACCCGAAACCACGAACAGCTGCGAACGCTACTTGATTGTCTTATGCAGACATGGTTGGCTGACACGGGGTTGAAATGCATGCCTAGCCCCACTCACACTGATCTCGTAGTCTCTTTGTGGCTGGAACTTGGCAGTGCGCGGGTCAACACCCCTCATAAAACAACCGCGAGCGCTGCTTGCTTGTTACGTGGGCGCATGCTTGGCGCGTAGTTGATTGACACTGCATGCCTAACCCCACTCACATTGATCTCTTTGACTGTTTGTGGCGGGAACTTGGCAGTGCGCGAGCCAAAACCACCCACCACAAACAGCCGCGACTGCTGCTGCTGCTGCGACTGCTGCTGCTGCTGCGTGTGCTGCTGCTGGTGCTGCTGTAAAACTATACTCCCAGGTATTGATGGGGGTACATGACACTGATTGCACTCACACTGATCTCCTTCACTGTTTGTGGCTGGAACTTGGCAGTTCGTGAGTCAACGCCCGCCACCACAAACAGCCGCGACCGCTGCTGCTGATTCCCAGCCACCACCTCCAGGTACTCCGAGGCGTCGACCAGAGAGGAGACGTCAAACCCTGTCTCCTCCCACACCTGCAGGGCAAGGGGAGGACGTGAGAGAACAAGGGAATCATGCCAGTTGCTGCTGCTGACTCCCCACCACTACTTCCGGGTACTTTGAGGCGTTCACCAGAGACGATATCTCGAACCCTGTCTCCTACCACCTCCCCAGGTATCCACCTCCCCAGGTACCCACCTCCCCAGGTACCCACCTCCGTAACAGCTGCCTCTGCAGCATTCGTTTCGTTGAACCTCGTCTTGCCCTTCGGCCAATCAAGATGCCTAAATAAACACCAGTGATACATGTTCCTTCCCAAGTACCCACCTTCCCAGGTACCCACCTCCCTAACAGCTGCCTCTGCATCCGTTTCGTTAAGCCCCTTCTTGCCCTTGGGAAAGCCCCAACTTGCCGACGAACGCCACCCTTTAACGAGTACGCACTGTCGAGGGGAGCAGCAAGGACAAAAGGGCAGAGGGGCAGCAGGAGGGGATGGAAAAAGAAGGGGAGGCGAAGACAACGGGGGGCCAACAGAGAGACAAGGAGGCCAAGACGGGAAGTGGGGATGAAACAAGCTGGAAGGGGGGGGCCAAGGGGGCGGGGGGGAGGTGCGGTGTGGGAGGGAAAGGGAAGAGGGGGGGGGAGGGGGAAGTGGGAGTCCATCAAGCAAGCGAGAGAAAGCAAGGGAGTCAAGCAAGCGAGCGAAAGCAAGGGGGTCAAGCAAGCGAGAGAAAGCAAGGGGGTGAAGCAAGCGAGAGAAAGCAAGGGGGTGAAGCAAGCGAGAGAAAGCAAGGGGGTGAAGCAAGCGAGAGAAAGCAAGGGGGTGAAGCAAGCGAGAGAAAGCAAGGGGGTGAAGCAAGCGAGAGAAAGCAAGGGGGTGAAGCAAGCGAGAGAAAGCAAGGGGGTGAAGCAAGCGAGAGAAAGCAAGGGGGTGAAGCAAGAAGACTCAGAGGAGAATCGAGAGAACACCACTTGGTGGTGGTTTTAGCCATACGTGGCAGCGGGCTTGTAGATTTTTCAAGGGGTAGATTTTTCAGAGCAAGAATTTTTCAAGGGGTAGATTTTTCGAGGGAAAGCAAGGGGTAGATTTTTCAGAGCAAGATTTTTTCTCTTAGCAAGAAGACTCAGAGGAGAATCGGCCAGAGGAATTCAAAAACAGGGAGAGCATACCCGCGTCATTGATTGGTCGAGGATTATAGCCCCCGTTACAGGCACTTTAAATTTGTAGCTGGTGAACTCGTTATAGATGTCGTTCACCCTGGCTGCATAGGGCTTGAGGGCCACACAGCGCTGGAACACTGGTAGCAAGAGGGGTGGGGAGACAGGGAGTAGGCAGCATGGAAAGAAGGGGGGGGGGCAGCCAAGCGGGGTGATGGGTGGTGAGCACATGCACGCTTCTAGCTGGTGAACTCGTAATAGGTGTCGTTCACTCTGGCAGCACAGGGCTTCAGCGCCACACAGTGCTGGAACACTGCAAGCAGCAAGCAGCAGGGCAGACAGGTCCGAAAAGGGCGGAGCAGAAACACACACAGGGAGGGTATGCATGGTTGTAGCTGGTGAACTCGTTGTAAATGTCGTTTACCCTTGCAGCATAGGGATTAAGGGCAACGCACAGGGCCTTAGAGGGTGAACGAGCGCAGACTACTTGAAGAGCGAGAAAGAAAAGGACTGCTTGAGAGGGAGTGGGCGAATAGAAAAGGGAGGGACTGTTCGAAACACAGGTACACACACAGGTTGGTGAAGTCTGACAACGCAGACTAAAAGGTTGGTTAATGCAGATTCAAAGGCTGGTTAACGAAGACTAAAAGGCTGGTTAACGCAGATTGGCAAAAGAGAGAGAGAGGCAGTAAGGGGCTTGTATCAGGCAGTAAGGCAGAGATTAAAAGGGAGGAAAGGGGAAGAACGGGGAGGAAAGGGGAAGAACGGGTAGGAAGGGGGAAGAACGGGGAGGAAAGGGGAAGAACGGGGAGGAAAGGGGAAGAACGGGGAGGAAGGGGGAAGAACGGGGAGGAAAGGGGAAGAACGGGGAGGAAAGGGGAAGAACGGGGAGGAAAGGGGAAGAACGGGGAGGAAGGGGGAAGAACGGGGAGGAAGGGGGAAGAACGGGGAGGAAAGGGGAAGAACGGGGAGGAAAGGGGAAGAACGGGGAGGAAAGGGGAAGAACGGGGAGGAAAGGGGAAGAACGGGGAGGAAAGGGGAAGAACGGGGAGGAAAGGGGAAGAACGGGGAGGAAAGGGGAAGAACGGGGAGGAAAGGGGAAGAACGGGGAGGAAAGGGGAAGAACGGGGAGGAAAGGGGAAGAACGGGGAGGAAAGGGGAAGAACGGGGAGGAAAGGGGAAGAACGGGGAGGAAGGGGGAAGAACGGGGAGGAAAGGGGAAGAACGGGGAGGAAATGGGAAGAACGGGGAGGAAAGGGGAAGAACGGGGAGGAAAGGGGAAGAACGGGGAGGAAAGGGGAAGAACGGGGAGGAAAGGGGAAGAACGGGGAGGAAAGGGGAAGAACGGGGAAGAAAGGGGAAGAACGGGGAGGAAAGGGGAAGAACGGGGAGGAAAGGGGAAGAACGGGGAGGAAAGGGGAAGAACGGGGAGGAAAGGGGAAGAACGGGGAGGAAAGGGGAAGAACGGGGAGGAAAGGGGAAGAACGGGGAGGAAAGGGGAAGAACGGGGAGGAAAGGGGAAGAACGGGGAGGAAAGGGGAAGAACGGGGGGAGGGGAGGGAGGAGAGGAGTAGGAAGACGCACGGAGGTTGGTAAAGTCCCGGAGGGTGAATGAGCGCAGGGAAGGCGTGTACCGCTCGCGACACTTGTCCTCGTAGAACCAATGGGCCTGCATGCAGCACGTCAGGCCACGTCAGCATCAATCACAGGGAAGCAAACAGGCGTGCCTGTTCTCACTGCATCACTTCCCCCACTGCCTGTGATTTTGGTGATCGAGTTGCCTAAAAAACCCCCACTGCCTCAAACACGGCACCTGCTCAATGGAGAATAGCATGCGCTCAAACGACTGCAGATGGCTTAGGGTCGACCCTAAAGTGACCTCGTTGCCATGCCACACTGCCCCACACCTGCTCGATGGAGAATAGCATGCGCTCAAACGACTGCAAATCCTCCCCAGGCACGTTGAAGACGAAGCGGCTGGTTGAAAGAACGGAAGGGGAACGTGGGGTGAGATGGGAAGGCGGGTGTGGGAGAGGGGGGATGGGGGGTTGGGAGTGACATGGAGGAAGGGGGAAGAATAGCATGCGCTCGAACGACTGCATATCCTCCCCCGGCACGTTGAAGACGAAGCGGCTGGGTGGAGATAGGGGGAAGGGGGGAGCGGGGAGAAGGGGGAGACGGGGAGGACGAGGGGGAGTTTGGGGGGGGTGAGGGGGAACGGGGAAGAATGGCATGCGCTCTAATGACCCCAGGACCTCGCCAGGCACGTTGCAGGCGATACGGCTAGTTGAAGACGGGGAGGAAAGCCGGAGCGCCGGGGGGAAAGGCTATTTTTGAGGCGCCTAAAAAATAGACTCCTCGCGTCGTCTACCATCGCCACAACGCCTTGAAGACGCGCCGACCTTAGAGGCGCCTCAAAACTAGACTTGTATCACGCGGCTTTGTCCTAACTTCAGAAAAGCGTCGTCCACCTGCAAAGGCCTTGAAGCCGACTCTTCCTGCAAAGGCCTTTGCCACAATGCCTTTGAAGCCGAGTCCACCTGCAGAGGTCGTCCAGCAGCTCGTACGGCAACACGCAGTAAGAAGAACATCTATCTGCAAGAACCTGCAAGGCGCGTCTACCTGCAGAGGTCGTCCAGCAGCTCCTGGGAAGGAAATCCCGCCCGCGGCGCCGCCGCTGCTGCCGGTGTTGCCATCGCATAGAGCTTTTGACAGTAACAAATGGTTCTATTCACAAGGACGAAGAAGCAAACCCCCTGTTAGACGAGAAGCCTACTACACTTTTAGGGATCCTGATGCACCACCTCGCGATGACCGCTCACGTCGCGCATTTCACGCTCACTGCTGATAGAAGTCTTATCTTTTTAGGGGCCTCGAAACTAGATTTCACGCCGGCCGTTGACTTCGCTAGCCTTGCGCGTCGAAAAGTAACCACGCGTGTTCGCGAAGGCCGTCGCAATCCTCTGAAACGACGGAAAACGACAGCTTAGTAGTCGCTGCGACGGCTACAAAAGCTAGTACTCCATGTACTTCAGCTTTCCGAAGCGTGGTCCGATGGAGGGGAATTCGAAATAGGTTCGGCTATGGCTAAAGACGAAATGCCTGGGTTCGGTTTAGTTGGAATTAAGGGTTACTAGGCTGGGTTATGGTACTTTGAGCGAGAGCCGACGACGTTCGTGTATGGTGACGAAAGCCATTGACGAGGCTCTTCGCAATTCAACTTTAACGATTCGAACCGAGCCTTGGGCTCAGCGATTTCAGACTGATGATTCGCCAGCATGGTAACCAGCACCTAGCCTCGTTCTGTTTTCCCTCCATCTAGTTATAAACAGCCATTGATTTTGAAATGCACCCCTCAACTCCCCAAGGCCCGTATTATCGAGAGTCCTGAAGTGCACCTTATCTAGTGCAAGCAGCATGACTGGTCAACTCCCAACTTCCCCTTCCTCTTGCTTGCGTGACGCGTTCCTCATGCCTTCGTTAAGTAGAAATATGGCCTTATTTCCACACTATTTCCACCGTTCCTGATTGGGCCGTAAGTCAGGTCAATCCTGCCGAACCTCGATCGTAGATTCCAGCAACCCTCTATTCTGCCATGCTCTCCCAATTCTAGCCAACGCCGAATCGAGGCGGATCGACGGCTATCGATAGCCTCAGGCCGTAAGGAAATCGACGGCTTTTAGAATCCTAGCATCTCTCGATTCTGAAAGCCGTCGATTCGCTGGAAGCAGATATCCCGGCGATGGATCCTGCCACGATCGCCAAGGCAGCGAATCCGTGGGTGCCACGTGGACGCGTGAGAGATGAGAAGGAGAAGGTCCTGCGAACCGTGCAAGGGTGAGCATGACCGTTGGATTAGAGCCGCTTTAGACCCGCGCTAGGGTGAGTTAGAAGAGAGGAGAGAGTGGAGGGAGAGGAAGGGGGTGGGAGAGAGAGGAGGGAGCGGGGGGAGGGGGGGAAGGGGGTAGAGAAGTGGAAGGGGAAGGGGAAGGGGAAGCGGAAGGGGAAGGGGAAGGGGAAGGGGAAGGGGAAGGGGAAGGGGAAGGGGAAGCGGAAGGGGAAGGGGAAGGGGAAGGGGAAGCGGAAGGGGATGATGGGAACGCAGTAACTGGGTCGCGCTCACATCCGAGAACTTTGCCCTGTTTTGCCAATCTCCATCCCCCGTATAATCTTCTGTCCCGCTACCCATACAGTATCTTAAACAAGCTCACTCCTGAGATGTTTGCTCCGCTCGTCCAGCAGCTCCTGAGTTCCGGCATCAACACACCTCAAATCCTCCAGGTGGAAAATCCTCTACAGACTTGGCTCGTCTAGGGTAAAATGCTGGGGTTTGTAATCAGTGCCCATTTCGTCGGCTTTGATTTAAACCAGGTCCAATGCCCAGTGTGCTTTGCTTCCTGCCACCTGAAAGCGCTCGTCTGATTTTGCTGGCATCAACGACGACATGCTTCTACTTCATCAACCCTTGCTGCCTCTACACGACTTCTGATTTTCACCGAGGCGGTTGACAAGCCCGCCTTCTGCCCCATGTCCGCTGCCCTGCCCTCCTCTCCCGCCGCTATCCCTCCCCTCCACTGCCCAGTCCCCACCACTCGCCCCCCCTCCTTCCCCCTTCTCCAATCGTCCCCCCTCAGGAGGCGATGTCTCTGATTTTCAACAAGGCGGCTGACGAGCCCACCCTCTGCCCCATGTCCGCTGCTCTCCTCCCCATTTGCCCACTCACCCCTACTCCCGACCCGACCCGTCCTCTCCTCCCCCCTCCCTCCCTACCCCCAATCCCCCAATCGCCCCCCCACAGGAGCTGATCTCTCTGATTTTCACCAAGGCCGTGGACGAGCCCACCTTCGGCCCTATGTCCGCTGTCCTCCTCCTCTCCTCACCCTACTCCGCAGTACTCACTCCCCCCTGCTCCCTTCCTCCGTTCCCCCTCCCCCCCGATTCCGCCCCCCTCAGGAGGTTATCTCTCTGGTTTTCACCAAGGCCGTGGACGAGCCTACCTTCTGCCCCATGTACGCTGCCCTCTGCGAAAATCTTTCCCGAGGCCTGCCCGAGTTTCCCGCAGCCAATGGGGGGGAGGGGAAGGGTGAAGGGGCAGGAGGGGAGCCGATTTCCTTCCGCCGCGTTCTGATCGGCACGTGCCAGGAGGAGTTTGAGCGCGCTGCTGTATTGAGAGAGCAGGTGGGGACGGGGGGAGGTGGTATGTGTCTCATGTAACACCTGCTCTGATCTGATCGGCACGTGCCAGGAGGAGCTTGAGCGCGCTGCTGCTTGGAGAATGCAGGTGGGGACAGGGGAAGGTGGTGGGAAGGTGGTGGGAAGGTGGTGGGAAGGTGGTGGGAAGGTGGTGGGAAGGTGGTGGGAAGGTGGTGGGAAGGTGGTGGGAAGGTGGTGGGAAGGTGGTGGGAAGGTGGTGGGAAGGTGGTGGGAAGGTGGTGGGAAAGTGGTGGGAAGGTGGTGGGAAGGTGGTGGGAAGGTGGTGGGAAGGTGGTGGGAAGGTGGTGGGAAGGTGGTGGGAAGGTGGTGGGAAGGTGGTGGGAAGGTGGTGGGAAGGTGGTGGGAAGGTGGTGGGAAGGTGGTGGGAAGGTGGTGGGAAGGTGGTGGGAAGGTGGTGGGAAGGTGGTGGGAAGGTGGTGGGAAGATGGTGGGAAGGTGTGTGTTTAAACCAAATGTTCTAATCGGCATGTGCCAGGCAGGAGGAGTTTGATCTTGCTGCTTTTGATTAGCATGACTAAAAGCTGCTCACATGAGATAGATGCAAGGTCGCACCTCCTCATGAGGAAAGGTGATATTTTTTAAGGGCTTTTGATTCGCATGAAGGGCTTTGATCGGCATGAAGGGCTTTGATCGGCATGAAGGGCTTTGATCGGCATGAAGGGCTTTGATCGGCATGAAGGGCTTTGATCGGCATGAAGGGCTTTGATTGGCATGAAGGGCTTTGATCGGCATGAAGGGCTTTGATCGGCATGAAGGGCTTTGATCGGCATGAAGGGCTTGCAGAGTCCATTACAGAACGAATCGCCTGATATGTCCTCCTCCTCCCCTCATCTTCCTCCTTCTGTCCATAACCCCTTTTGCCAGGCTGGCGAGCTTCCAGAGTCGTTGCAGGAAGGAAGTGCGGAAGGGGAAGAGGGAGGAGACGCGGAGGGAGAAGCGGAGGGAGAAGGGGAGGGAGAAGGGGAGGGAGAAGGGGAGGGAGAAGGGGAGGGAGAAGGGGAGGGAGAAGGGGAGGGAGAAGGGGAGGGAGAAGGGGAGGGAGAAGGGGAGGGAGAAGGGGAGGGGGGATTCAAAGAAGGGAGAGGGGGAGATGGTGGAAGAGAGTGTCTGGAAGCAAACGAGAGGGGAGACGAGGGGGCGGGGAGGGTTGAGGAGAAAGAGAGAAGGGAGGATGATGAAAGGGAGAGGAGGGAGAGGGAGAGAGGGGAGGAGAAGGAGCAGCGGAGAGCCAAGGCACGGACTTTGGGGAACATTCGGCTCATTGGGGAGCTGTTTCTTCAGAGGATGATTCCAGAGAAGGTCATTCACGCGTGCATGCAGGTGAGCGGCTCTATGCGCTCCTGTGAACTATGTATTTTGAGTCGACTCAAAATACAACTGGAGAGGCTCTGTGCGCTCCTGTGAACTATGGAGGCAGCTCAAAACTAGATATTCGTCGGATTGGGGAACAGTTTCTTCAGAGGATGATTCCAGAGAAGGTCATTCGCGCATGCGTGCAGTGCAGGTGAGCGGTTCTATTCTATGTGCTCCTGTGTACTACTGAGGCGACTATAGAGATGGACATTCGGCTCATTGGGGAATTGTTTCTTCTGAGGATGATTCCAGTGAAGGTCATTCGTGAGCGAGCGGCTCATGGGCTCCTGTGTTTTGTTATTTTAGGCGCCTCAAAATTAGACATGGCTGATTGGGGAGTGTTCCTTCAGAGGATGATTCCTGGAGAAGTGATTCATGCATGCGTGCAGGTAAGTGGTTATATGTGAGTGCCGGTTGTTGTGTATGTGGCTGTATTGAGGCGCCTCAGATATAGGCTTTTCTCTGCTCGGGGGATTGTTCTTTCAGAGGATGATTCGTGCAAAAGTGATCCACGCATGCGTGTGGGTGAGTGGTTCTATTCTATGTGCTCCCGTGTACGATTGACGTGACTGTGAAGGAACATTCAGCTCATTGGGAACTAACTGTTTCTACAGAGGATGCATGCCCATATCCCCATGCCCATACCCCCATACTCCCATACCCTCATGTCCATACCCCCATGCCCATACCCCCATACTCCCATACCCCCATGCTCCCATACCCCCATGCCCATACCCCCATACTCCCATACCCTCATGTCCATACCCCCATGCCCATACCCCCATACTCCCATACCCCCATACTCCCATACCTGTACTCCAGAATTTGCTAGGAGACCCTGCATCCGTCCCTCCTCCCTCGCATGTAGAGGCTGCCTGTGTGCTGCTCACGATAACAGGGGGGCCTATGGAGAGGAGCGGGAAAGCACCGCTGCTGCTGCAGGGATACCTTCGGCATATAAAATATTTAGCTAAGTACCAGGGAGCTGAGAAGGACTTGGTCAGCGCATCCAGGAGCACACTTAGCCGTTTGTACCTTCAGCTAAAGCAGCGGGAGCAGCAGCAGCAGCAGGAGCAGCAGCAGCAGCAGCAACATCTTCAGCAGCACACTCAGCAGTCTCCCCTCCCTCCCCTTACTCCTTCACTGCCTCATACCCTCCCTCCTCCCCTCTCTTCTCGCCTTCGCTTCATGTGTCGAGAATTGCTAGAGCTTCGGAGGAACGGGTGGGTGCCTCGTAAAGAGGGTGATACTGCCAAGCCTATCAAGCAGGTTTGGGCCGAAGCACAGGCAGAGCTAGGGTTGGTGGGAGGTGGAGGAGGGAGGGGAGGAGGGAGGGGTGGAAGGAGGAGGGGGGAGCAAAAGGGAGGGAGAGGAGGGGGAGGGGTGGGAGGGGTAGGAAGAGTGGCAGGATCGCAGGGAGGGGTGGGGATAGGAGGAAGGGGGATGCATGGAGGGGTGGGGATAGGAGGTATGGGAATGGGAGGCATGGGCATGCACGGAGGCATGGGAATGCATGGAGGGGTGGGCATGCATGGAGGAGTGGGCATGCACGGAGGCATGGGAATGCATGGAGGGGTGGGCATGCACGGAGGCATGGGAATGCATGGAGGGGTGGGCATGCATGGAGGGGTGAGACTGGAAGGCATGGGACTGGAAGGCATGGGACTGGAAGGCATGGGAATAGGAGGGATGGGCATGCATGGAGGAGTGGGAATGGGAAGGATGGGATGGCAGGGAGGTGTGGGGATGGGAGGAGAAGTTGCAGGGTTACATACCACATCACCGCTGCCATCAGTAGTAGTGCCGCTACCAGTACTGCCCTCACAAGTAGTGCCTTTACCGGTAGTGCCTTCCCCAGTAGCAGCTGCAGCAGGGGCAAGAGCAGCAGCAGTAACCTCGGGAGCACCAGCAGCAGCAGAAGCAGCCGACTGGGAATCTCAACTAGCTATCACCATCCTGAAATCTCTACTCCAAGGGCTGAACACGGTACCAATCAACAACCCCGCACCTAGCACATCTGGCCCATCAGCCTTAGCAGGAACGCTGCATACCCTCTCAGTGCCGCCGCAGCAGCTTCAACCGCCTCCTATCAGCACAAAGCTTGATGTAGCCCGAGTGGTGAACAGTGGAGTGCTGACAGCACAGCAGGCTCTGGGACCCCATCCCCCTAGAGACTGTGCCGCTCGCTTCGTGCTGCAGATGATGCGGCATGGTGCTGCAGCTGCTTCTGTTGCCGCTGAGGCTGATGCTGCTGCCGCCGTCGCTGCTGCTGCTGCTGCTGGTGATGCCGCTGAAGCTGCTGCTGCTGGTGACGCTGCTTCAGCTGAATCCGGATCATCCTCTGCCAACTCAGTTCCTGCGGACCCCTGTCCTGCTGCTGCAGCCATTGCTGAATTTCCTGATGCTAATGCATCTCCTGCCGTTCGTCCCTCTTCAGGATCCAACGGCTGCAAATCACAGGCGTTACCAGCCAGCCAATCACAGCAGCTGCTCATGCCCATCGGCCAATCAGCTCGCTCGATTCTTGACTCAGTGGGTCTCCTTCTCGACAGCCTGGCAGCCAGAAAAGCTTTGCCTGACGGATCGCTGACAAATGGCGCATTGTCATTCGCCCGGCTGTTCGGGAAAGGCGGCATCTCCAACAGTAACAGTCACAGTAACAGGAGTGAGATTGTAACCAACCGTACAGTGATTGTTGCTCGCTCTACCAACATACCCAATACACCACCACCAAAAACAGCCCCAGAAAAGTCTGCACTGTGGAATTCCCAGGTTTTAGGTCAGTGGCTGGGTCGGTTCGTGGGTACGGGGCAGATGGGGTTTGGAGTGGTTCAAGAGGCATGTGAAAGGGTGGTGTGCGGTCCGTACAGGCGTGCGCTGCTGCTAGCAGCGCTAGTGGGAGCGAGGGCAGCAACAGTAGGGTGTAAATGGGTAAAAGCGTTACGAGGCGCCGGGGCAGAGGGAGTGGTAAAGATGGGGGTAGGACCGGGGGAGAGGCAGGAGGACGTGCTTCCTTTGCTCAAGAAATGCGCTGTAGAGATGGACCTCTCGCACCATGTATGGGAGCTCTAACTTGGTGTGATGTGATGATGTGTGTATTTGGTGTGTATTGGAGCTCTAACATAACATGGTTTTAAAACCATGTGTGATGATGCTGAGTATTCGGTGTAACTTGGTCCACCCTAGGTTCAGTTCCGATGCCAGCGTATTTTGTGCAGTCTTATCATGGACAAACTTGGTGAAGTGTGAGCAGTGCAGTGCAGTGCAGTGGGGTGCAGTGCAGTGCAGTGGGGTGCAGTGCAGCCCAGTGCTGAAGCGCCAGTAGTGGTATCTTGTTCGGCCCAACAGCACCAAGCCTAACGCTGCACCCTATGGCATCCACATCAGAAACCGATCTAATTGGCCGATAAATTATACGAATGCATCAGTTAGCCATCTAGATGGGAACGGCCTTTGCCAGTCATTTTCCCGTTCATTCTAATACCCAAACCCTTGTCCTGCTAAACCATCACCAGACCCTACACGTTCCACAGCTAGCCCCTCGTTTGATCCTGACCGTTGGATCGCTAAGCCAAATCCAGCAGTGGCAGCAACAGGAGATCCTAACCTACCAGCTCCCACCCCCCCAGCACCCCAATTATGACTCCCATGATTCCCATGACTCCCATGGCTCCCACTTCCTGCTCCCTCAGGAGCAAACAAACTGGATGAGAGGATTCTTCGCGGGGCAGATGAGATGGACGGCTGAGATGCCTTCACAGAGAGATCTAACGGCCGTCGTGGCAACGTTGGCAGAGCAGCAGATCCAGGAGAGGGGCAGAGGGAGGGCGAAGAGGGGAGGTGTTGAGAGGCGAGAACCAATGCAGCAGCACTCCCTGCACTACCTGCAAATCCTGCAGGTAAACCTTCCCCAGATACACCTGCAGATAGCCCCTGTGCGGATGAGCTCGGGAGCTCTGCAATGGGAGGGAGGGTAGACGAGGAGGAGGTAGGGGAGGAGGGCATACCCATGTATGCTTGCTGCTGGTAGAGCAGTGCCTGCTGCTGCTGCTGCTGCTGCTGATGTGAGTGGGGAAGCAGCTGTTTTGGCATGGCCCCTGGCGGAGTGGGGGAGAGAGAGCGAGGTGTGTCTGCAATGACCGGCAGGAAGCTGAGGGCTCTTCTTGCTGATGATCCACCACCGGCGTTATGAGATGACTCAACCTGAGTACCAGAAGCAATTCCAGCACCAGTCTCCCCAGCAACTGCAGCAGCAGCTGCAGCCGCCACAAGGGCACTGTTACGGTTACCAGGCGACGGTGAGCGGGCGGATAGCCCTCCACCCGAAAAGGAAGGGGAGGGGGGAAGAGGGGGGAGACCGGCTGTTCTAGGGGAGCCGGATTGGGACGAGGGGGAGTGGGCGCGCGGAGGGGTGTTGGAGCGAGGAGGCGTGTTGTAGCGAGGGGGAGTGTTGGAGCGAGGAGGAGGGTTGGAATCCGCAAATCCGTATGGAGGGAGAAGAATCGAAGGGGGGTCTAATGCTGCAGCCCTAGAGGCTGCTGTCACAGCAGCCATACTATTCACAGCATAAGCAGCAGCATTGCCAGATGGCCGTCCCGCGGCAGAACTAGCAGAGCCACCCGTAGAAGAGCCACCAGTGGCACTGACGCCAGCAGCAGCGCCAGCAGCCCTGCTCTCAGTGGAAGCCAGAGCCTTGTGCAGTTGCAGCGACCGCTTGAGCGACGCAAAGTCAGGCGCGTGCACCACCGTGGCCTTCACGTTATACTTGTCCATTTTGATCATCGGCTGGGCCCCTCTCCCTCCTCCTCCTGCGCCCCCTCCCCCATTCCCACCGCCCAAGCCTGCTGCCATCAACTCAAATCTCCGCCTGTTTTCTGCCAAGCGGGCCTCCTTTGCGCTCGCTGCCTCTCTCACTCTCTCCTCCCTCACCCTCTCCTCCTCTGCTGCTCTCTCCGCGGCACCTCTCTTTTCCTCTGCAGCCCTTTCCTTCTCTGCTGCTCGCTCCTGTGTAGACTCGTCTCTCAGCCGAGGCCGTTCCTTCTCCCATCCGGGTGTTTCCTCCTCCCTATGTCTTGCTTCCCTTCCCCTCTCCGCTCTGTCTGTCCCCTCACTGTCAGCCCCCTCGTTCCCCTTCCCCTCCTCTCCTTCGACCTCAGTTTTCTTCTCGAAATAGCAAGCTACTTCTGTAGCTGTACCACTGATTCCTAGACCAACTGCAACGGGGCTAGCTACAGCTGGAGCAGCGACGCCGGCTGTAGCAACAGGGTATGTAGCAGCAGGGGCTGTAGCACCAGGGGTTGTAGCAACTGGTTTGTAGGCAACAGAGGAGACGCTAACTGCAGCCACGGGGGGTGAGATGACTGGATGTGAAGTCCTAGTGGAGGAGGGAGGTGATGGTACAACAGCAGCTGCAGCGGCATCTTTCCCTGTTGCTGTTGCTGCTGCTGCTGCTGCTGCTGCTGCTGCTGCTGCTGCTGCTGCTGAGGCCAGCCCCATAGCTGGTGAGGCAGCAGGAGCAAGCTCGGTCGCAGAGGGAGTAGCAACAACACTTGGTGCAGCATGAGTTGAGCCCGAAGCACCGCCTTCCGAGCCTCTCATAGGGCGCTGCAGCTGCTGCGGATGCGCTCTCTCTATGCCCTTTTCCACCGTTTTCTGAGCTTCCTTCTGCTGCTCACCCGGCTCCAAATGTGCCGTTTGCTGCAGCTGCCACAGCTGCTGCCACAGCTGCCGTTCCTGCCCCTTCTGAGGCTGCTGCTGCCCTTTCTGAGGCTGCTGCTGCTCCTTCTGTGGCTGCTTCTGCTGCAGGTGCTCCTTCTCCTTCTCTTGTTGCTGTGCCTGTATGCCCACAGCAACCAGTTCCACATTCCCACCACCATCACCCGTCTTAGAGAAACCTTCAGCATGTGCCGTAAAGCTGCTGCTCCTAGGGCTGTTTCTGCCGCTGCTGCTGCTGCTATCCTCTCCGTCTTTGCTTCCTTCGACTGACGAGTGAAAGAGGGGGTTCATGAAGGTGGTTCTCGTGGCTAAGGAAAATGCAGCCGCCTCTGCTCCCCCCCCTCCTAATCCTCCTCCTGCTCCGCCTGTTCCCACTGCGTCCCCTCCTCCCACCCCTCCTGTTCCTTCTCCTCCTCTTGTTTCACCCGCTCCTGCTGCCCCTGTAACACTCAGTATTGGCCCAACCGCAGCCTCAGCAGGATTCCTGGTACTGGCGACAAGAGTGGCGATTGCAGCGCTGCCAGGGGGAGCAGGGGTCAGTATGCTGTTCTGGTAGAAACGCGTTGCTTTGGCAGGGGATCCACGAGCAGCCGCAGCAGCAGCCGCAGCAGCAGCAGCAGCCGCTGTGGCAGAAGCAGAGCCAGCAGAGTCAGAGGCAGTTAGGCTGACAGAGGTGACAGCAGCAGCAGCCGCTGCAGCGGCGGCAGCAGCAGTGGGAGTAGCCGACCTCAGCAGTTGCTTCGTGTGCTTTGATGCTGCACTACCGGCAGCAGCAGGATGTTTTGACACCCCACCAGCATTATTACCTGGATACTGAAGAATGGAGTAGGGCGTCTTGCCTGCTCCCACTGCGTCTGCTGCAGCAAGTGAACCACCAACGACTCCTGCCACTCCAGCACCTATGGCTGCCCCTGCTACTCCCGCCGCTGCTCCTACTGCTGCACTTGGCACGCTACTCACAGCGCTAGTAGCAGCACCGGAACTGCCAGCAGCAGCAGCAGCAGCGTCACCGTCAACATCAGCCACCGCAGCAGCAGCAGCTGACAGCAGCCCCCCTGCCCCTCCTCTTGCTGGTCCCACCCCACCAGCACCCGCACCTGCACCACCGCTACCACCACCACCAACACCACCACTACCACCAGTACGGCCAGCAGCACCACCAGCAGCACCACCAGCAGCACCACCAGCAGCACCACCAGCAGTACCAGGAGGCAAGCGTCCATTGAACGACATCCTAGAGGTGGCTCTAGCACAGGCGGCCGCTACTGCTTCCGCCAGCTCCTCCTGCTGCCTCTGCTGCCGCCGCCTCTGCCTCTCCCCGCCCTTCCCCAGCCCGCCCACCCCGCTGCTGCTGCTCGTGGTGCTGTCTGTGCGCTCCACAGGCAACAGGTGCGAGTGGTGGTGGTGAGATGCGTGCGAGGGATGCGAGTGGTGAGAGTGAGAGTGAGACTCTCTTTTCCCGGCTCTTCCTGCAGTTGCGGTTGCTCCTGCTCCTGATCCTGCTGTTCTTCCATGTCCAGGTAATTCTCCTGCACCCATGGGAAGGGACCCTGCATGGCCTGCCAGCATGCGCCTCTCCCAATCCCTCAGCTTACTCCCCTCCTCTCCCTCCCCCCCCCCTCCCAACCCTCCCAACCCTCCCAACCCTCCTACCTCCACTCCTCCCCTCTCCAAATCCCTCCCCACATCCCCATCCTTATCCGCATCCCCGTCCTCCCCTTCCCCCCCTTCCAGCATCAGATCTGAAATCTCATCCTCCCACTCCCCTCCACTCCCCTCACTCCCCTCCTCCTCCTCACTCCCCTCCTCCCCACTCTCCACACTCCCCTTCTCACTCGCCTCCCCCTCTCTCTCCGGCCTAACCCTACTCTGAGTCAGCCTATTCGCCCACAGCAGCCACTCCAGGGTAAGGCAGCAGGACGCCAGCAGCGCCAGCCACACGCCAGCAGTAATAGAGAAGCCCGAGGAGGCTTGTATGAGCTGAAGGCCGAGGAAGAGGAGGATGAGGGAGAGGAGGAGCGAGGAGCACCCGCACACCTTGTGGAATCGCCGCCAGTGGTCCCTCAGGTGGTGGGACTCGGGGGGACGAACCATCACTGCTGAAATCTGGGAGATAGGGGAGAGAGGGAAGGGGGGGAGAGGCGGGGGGGGAGGGAAAAGAGGGGGGAATGGGGGTGAGGCTCTCTTCTCAACAGCAACCGCAAACCTTGTGGAATCGCCGCCAGTGGTCCCTCAGGAGGTGGCACTCGGGGGACGGACCATGACTGCTGAAACCTGGGGGATGGGGGTGAGGTTGGGGATGGAGGGGGGGGGTGGGGGGTGTGTAGAGGGGAGGAGAGGAGGGGAGGATAGGAAGGGGGAGGGATTGTGAAGAAGAAGGGGGTATGGGGGTGAGAGTTTGGAAGGGCCTAAAGGAGCACTTAAACATACCCAGAAGACAACTGTTTTCACCTTTCAGTCGAAACCGCCTCCCTCACCTGCAGCACCAGGAGAATCCAGAGCAGCGCCAGCAGGACGCAGTACCCCACCGACTTGTTTCCGAGTGGCCTTTGAAGGCACTACAACTTCTCTCACCTGCAGCACCAGGAGAACCGAGAGCAGCGCCAGCAGCACGCAGTACCCCACCAACTTGTGCAGTGGCTCCAGCGACAGGGCCAGCGTGAACGCCGAGAGCGTGAGAAAGTACCCCTCAGCTGCACCCCCTGGTGATCAAAACACACAAAAATCCACCTTCCTCACCTGTAACACGAGGAGAACAGAGAGCAGCGCGAGCAGCACGCAGTACCCCACCGACTTGTGCAGCGACTCCAGCGACAGGGCCAGCGTGAACGCCGAGAGCGTCAGAAAGTACCCGCCCAGCTGAACCCCCTGGTGCAGCGGGAACCAGTACCGGCTATGCTTGCGCACATACCGCCCCGACACCGCCCCCACCGGCAGCAGAAACGCCCACGCCGCCACACTCAGGGCCGAATACACCACTCCTGCTGTTGTCACCTGCGCCGCGTTCGGATCCACGTCACTCTCATTGCCAAAGTCTATCGGCGCGCTTGCCATAGCTACAACCCCATCAGGGGAGAGGGAGTCGTTCGAAGGGAAGAACTGGGCGCCCTTGGTCCAGAGGAGCACGGCACCGGATCGCTGCCTGTGGGGGAGTTTGATGGTGAAGAGCAGCGTGAGGGAGCCCGCTTGGAGCTCCGCTTTGGATGAGATGAGAGAGAGATTGCCCCCTCGCACCATGGCCGTTTGCTCCTGTGGTGCCAGACTGGTACTGTTGCTGCTGCTGCCGGTGCTGGTGGTGCTGGTGGTGCTGGTGCCTGTGGTTGTTGCGCCAGTGAGAGTGGTGTTGCTGCTGTCGCCTGCCGCTTTCTTCACGATCTCAAACTCCTCCACTCTCATTCCCCCGCTTCCGTCCTCCGCCCTCACTGCAACCAGCATCGAGGCACCCACTAACGAATCCGGCTTCACATACCCCCCTTCCACGCTCCCACTCCCATTCCCCCCGGCCGGCGCCGGGGGAGGGGTAAACAGCGCCTCTAGCAGCGGGGTGGGTGGGGGCAGCAGCAGCCCTACAGCAGCGTAACCTTGTGGGGACACAGACTGGGAGATAAACGCACCAGATAGCTCTTCTTTCCCAAGCGTCCACATGAAAAAGAAACCTCCTGGAAGGGCCTCACACGAGGCAAACTTCCTATTTTCCCCCTCAAACGTGGTGCTGCACTGAGATAAGCCAGAAATCACCGCCCCGTCGTCCCACATGGATGGCTCGCCGGGCGGCGAGGGCACCAAACCGGGCGGCAGAGCCGGGTAGCTCAGCGCCGGCGTGTTCCAAAGCGGCTCACAGGAATTAGTCGCTTTAGCAGCGTTTAACGTGATGTTAATCGATCCAGAAAAGAACGCCGAGGAGGAGGCATGTGGGAGTAGCTGGGGCAGCGAGGGGGTGGAGGAAGGGTGGAGGGGTCCTGTAGCGAAAATGAACAGCAGGGGGCGGGAAAGATCCGTATTGTTGGGGACTGCAGAGGGGAGGCTTATATCGAATCGGCGGTCAAAGAGGGGGTCGGTGGAGAGGGCGAGGGAGCGGCGGAAGCGGATGAAGGAGACGTCCGCCTGGCGCGAGGCGAGGGTGAGATTGACGTTGTTGAGGGCGGGGGAGGAGCCGAGAAGAGCGTCCTGGTGAGGGGAATGGGAATTGTAAGGAAGCACAGGAAGGGAGAGGGGGACGGGGGGGACACTGTTGGTTGAGGTTGACGGTAAGAGACGTCTGTCTGGCACGAGGCGAGAGTGAGGTTGACGTTGTTGAGGGCGGGGGGAGGGGCCGAGAAGAGCGTCCAGGTGAGGGAGTGACACTTGGCAGTGCAGGTGGATAAAGGAGACGTTGGATTGTCACGAGGCCAGCGTGAAATGACCGTGCGTTCAGGGCTGCGAAAGATGAAGAGGAGGGTAGAGAGACGGTTCGGTGCAGAGCGGTATCAGAAAGGCTTACCGGACAGACCCCCACGTATCCTCCTGCGATCTGCTCACACGCCTCCAACGCCGTGACGTAGAAATCCGTTGCAAACGCATCTACCACCCCACTGCTACTGCTACTGCTACCAATACTGCTACTGCCACCACTGCTGCTGCTGCTCCCGCTTCCGCTGCTGCTGCCGTTGCTGGTGCTAGAGGTGATGATTCCTGCAGCGGTGATGTCGCTGCTGTGCATGTCAGCGTGCGACTGGTTACCAGACAGGCCCAACGCCATCCAGCTGTTGTCGGGCACCTTGCCCTCGAGCCCGAACTCCACAGCCATGCCGTTGATGGGGTCGCCCACCATGCGCCAGTAGCTAGGGAGGGATTGGGGGAACGCAGGACAAGGAAAGGCAATGATGAGGCACCTGGCCCAGTAGCTTGCCCTCCAGGCCGAACTCCACTACCATGCGCCAGTAGCTGCGGAGGGGAGGAGGGGTGGGGAGGGCAGGTTGCACGGGGCATCAGGGAGAGAAATCAACGAAAACGAAAGCCCAGCCCAGCACCATCCAGCTGTTTTCCGGCCCCACTTCACAGTGACGCAGTTCACGAACCCCAACGCGGGGCGACGCACGCTGACTCTCGCACCCACACCTACACGCGGACTCTCTGCCCGTACGTATCGACCCCCTGCCGACCTACATGTTGAGTCGGCCCTTCTTCGCAGTGACGCAGTTCACGAACCCCAGCGCCGGCGACGCCACAGGCGGAGGGGGCGGCGGAATGGGCGGGGGCGGGGGCGGCATAACCGGGGGCGGTGGCGCCAGCAACTGGTTCTTCTTGGCGTACTGAAACACCTGCTTTCGTACCCCCTCAGACGCTTCCGTCGCACTGCCAGGCAACACACCCACCCCACCACCACCACCACCACCACTGCTGCTGGTACCTCTCACTCCGCCACGGGTAAGCCTCCTCGGCAGCTGCACCTGAGCCAGGACTTTCTCTAAGTCCCCAGCGGGAGTGGCAGAGACGAGGTAGAGCACGTGTATGTTGTCCCAGGTTCGGCCCTGGGAGCCGATGTAGACGGCGAGGAGGGGAGAGGTGGCGGCGGGAGTGAGGGAGGAGAGGGCGGGGTCGAGAGGGGAGGCGTAGGAGAACGGGTCTTCCCCTGCTATCCCCCCCCAGAGAGAGAGGGAGGGAGTGCTGTTGGCCGATTTCAATCTGGAGGACAAGGGGGAGATGGGGGAGGGACGGAGGTGGAAGAGTGCGTATGCGGGGAGAGCTTGCGAAGAGAGTTTTGCAGGGAGATGACGTGGGAGCGGAACGGGAAGGGAGGGATGCGAGAGATGATAAGATGCAGGCTACTCACGTGAGCGAGGAGAGAGCGAGATAGCAGTCGTCATACACCGTCACGAAACCCGACAGCTGAACGCGAGGCTGCAGAGGGGTGAACGCTCCTTTGAAACCCACGACGGAATAGTTCCCTGACACCCCGCACGGCGCGTATTTTTCACCCGAAAATTGAATGGCCTCTGCGCTCGGTATACTCGAGGCGTCTGGAAACAGCACAGCGATAAGGAGCACCAGCAGGGCCGCCAGTACTAGTCTAGGACTAAGAATCGCGTGCACACGTGGCCGCTGTTGGTGCGGTGTAATTGACGTCGGCACATGTTTCGTCCGCCGCGTCGGCCAAATTAACCTTCCTTCTGTACGTCTCTGTTTTTTGTTCAGGCATGTACAGTCCCCTGCCGCTGTCATTGCCGCTGTCGCTGCTGCTACTGATGTTCTGGCTCGTGAAACTGCTGCTGCTGCGACTTGTGTCGCAGCAGCATCAGCTATGGACAAACCCATTCCGCTATTGCGCGTCGTAGTCTACTGCGACACGCATGTTCGGTGCGCTGCTCATAATTTCACTGCTAAATGCACGCTGTCAGATCTAGTAGCCTGAGGCTATCGGTGGCGACGGAGGAGAAGAACTCGAAAACTATAAAGACGAGGGTGAGACTAGCTTTGATAAATAGTCGGCGCGGTGAAGATAGCTATCCAATATCATAATGCTCGTAAAACGGAAGGAAAGGCATCAAACGACCTGAATCAGTCCTACTACACGAGCGTATCAGCACGCGCGACGAAGACTACGAGGCGGTCGATGCGAAGAAAAGCCGCCACAAAACCAGGCACGTACGGCGCAATTCGCTAGGCTAACGAGCCTTATGCGCTACCACATGCATCAGTTTCATGAGAAAAGGGGGACAGAAAGAGGAGAGATTGGACAGCAGGAGGTGGAGGGAAAAGGCCTGAGGGCCATGAGCAGACCAAGGGAGTTCCTCAATACTCTTCGGTCTTCGGTCTGTTCAGGGAAGGTGAAGGAACTCGGATGGGTGAGGAGAGGATGACCAGAGCCGACTATGGAAGAAAGACCAGAGAGGTGTGGCGTGGGGGTGGGGAAGCGCGTACGTTTTTGGTCAAAACCCTAACCAACCGTTTTAGATTCGTTATTGATCCTTTTGATCCGTGCGGCACCTCACCCAACCGCAATCAAACGTAAGCGCTGGGGGAAGCTCGAGGATGTGACCGTTGGAGGGGTTCCCACAGACAGCCAAAATTGGCGGGAATTGGTGGTGTCAGAAAGGGAGCCAGTTTCCGTAAAATGGTGACCATGGTTAATGCTTTGCGCGAAAGTAGCCCGAAAACAAGAAACGATTTGTGTTTCTGCCATTCGCTGGTGATTTTGCGAGCCGGTGAAGATTTTTGCAGTGATGTTTTTGCGACTTACGGTGACTGTATGGGGTTTGATGGCTGCGACCGAAAAGGGCGATAACGAAAGGTTGCGTGGAACAGAACACGAGTCGCCTGAAATGGAGGGATGGCGCGCGTCGTGGGTGGCCGACTGTGAGACGCCGATGTCCTGCCACCACCGGTTAGTAGACGGCTGTCAGGGAACCTTGGAAAGAAATTGCTCGCCTAGTTTTCAAGCCACCGACCCATAACGAAATTTGACTGGAACAATGATTGTACACTCCGCAGATATGAACGTTCTCCAACATTCGCAAAATTCCTAACGCGTACAGAGCCTTCTTTTTGCTCTTCACGATTACTTGTAGCAGGGATTCCAGCAACTTACTTTGAGATAGCACTAGTTATCACACTCCGTAATAGTCTCTTCGCCTCGCGCTCGTATTTCAGATACTCGTCACAGGCAAAGCGAAGCCCGTTGACTTCTCGTCTGTAGCCAGCTCAGCCGTTGGACCATAATTCTTGGCAGTCGCGGCGTTTTCTGATAGATTCACCACCCTGGTCATGACATGCGAAGTGTTTGAGCTGAAAGAGCTGGTGGGTCATGGCCTAATGTTGTTGTATTTAGCGGAAACCTAAGTCTTCTCTTCAGTACGTGAGTCTACACTCGCGACTCCCCTAATTCACGGAGTCAAAGCATGGGAGCGTTTTCGAGTGGGTTAAGGTTGTCATGAGTGTGTTTCCCTGTCGCTTGTGAACGATTACTGCACGATCACTTGTCCATATAATCATGATTTGTTGCTCAGGTCGTTCCGACTGTTCATCCATCTCCCTGTGATGTGCTGGGATGTTTCTGCTGCCTTGTGCTGGGATAATTTGCTGGCTGGGCCTTGTGATGGCTCGACGTTGCATGTGTTTACTCCATTGACGTTGTTCCTTGGCAGTTGCTCGAGCACTACCAAATTCGTGAAGTCTTACGATGTAAGTGGCGTGGCGTTTCCCTTTCCTCTCTTCCCTCATCCCATTGGTTCTCCTGATCCTCCTTTTCCCACTCCTCTCTCCTCGTTACTTCCCGTACTTCTCGTCTCCCTGCTTAGATCCTCCCCCTTCTCCCCCTCCCCCCCCCCACCCCCACAACTGAATTTCTGTTCAATTTCTGACTTCCAGTTTCCGATTGCATGGCTAGTGGTACTGTTACCAAATCCAGTTACTTTTATTTGTGTACTCTACAGTCACGCTGTTCGCCTTTCTGTCAACTCATCTTCGCTCTCCCTGTCCTCCTCCCTCCTTGATCTTGCCCCTCCCTCTCTCCTCCCACCAGTTCTTCTCCACACCATCATGTTCCATCGAGCATTGGGTTTCTTCCCTCGCTGTTCTTGAGGCGCCTCAAAAATCGAGCATATTTTTGAGTCTATTTTTGAGGCGCCTCAAAAATAGACTCAAAAATCGAGCATTGGGTTTCTTCCCTCGCTGTTCTTACTTCCTCCTCCCGTGCTCCACCCCCCCTCCTCCCTCCCTCATTCCTCACCTCAGGTCTCCTCCACACCTCAAAGCTCTTCTCCCTTCCTCATCTCGCCCTCCATATTCTCTTGCCTCCATGCCCTCGTTTCTCCTTATCTCCTCCCACCAGGTCTCCTCCACACCATCATGTTCCATCGAGCATTGGGACTCGTGCGACCCAAGAGCATCGACTCGGAGCTCTTCGACATCACCTATGTGAGCTATCTGACTGAGCCGTTTCATATTTCTATGCCATATGTTGTAGCTCCTTAACGCTGCTGTTTCTCCCTTCCATCTGTTCTTTTCTCCCCCCCCCTCTCCTCTTCCCCCCCCTCCTCTCAGGTGCAATGCGGGGATGCAGAGGTGGAGAGACAAATAGAGGAAAAGATTGGCCAGTTCAGCCTGTGGCTTGAGAAGAACCCCACCAAGAAAGGACAGGTGGGGGAGTTTGTGCGATCACTGAGTGGACCCCGCCTCGAAGCGCAAATTTCTCTGCGTTCCCTCCATTCTCTCTCATGCCTGCATGATGGAGGCATGGAGCACCCAGTTCATGCCTCTTTCATGCCTGCATCACCCAGTTCTTCTCTCCATGTGGAATTATCTCCCATAGAAATCCGAGTGAACTGAGACGAATTTTGAGGCGCCTAATAAATTATCTTTCATGTCTGCATCACCCTGTTCTTCTCCCCCTTTGGTCCTTCCGTCCGTCCTTCTATCTCTCCCCTCCCACCCTTACCAGCTCTGCCTTTCCTTCTTTGAAAAGCGACGCCCCATCACAGGCACCGCCACAACATCTTCTTCTGGTAGCAGCAACACCGCTCGCACAAAGTCCGAAGGCAGCAGCCAAGCCAACGGTAGCAGCAGCAGCGGCGGCGGCGGCGGCGGCGGCGGCAGCGGCAGTGGCAGCACAAGGAAGGACTCAGCAGCATCATGGTTGAGCGCTAGTGCCGCCCGGTTGACCCTAGGATCGGATAAAATCATATGGGAGCAGTGGATCATCCCTGTCTCACTCCTCACCTCCCCCTCAGGCAGCACTCCCGGCCAGCCACCATTCTCCTCCTCTTCCTCCTCCTCCTCCCCCTCCTCCTCTCCTGCTCACACCAGTGCTGCCCATACCGCTGTTGCCACCACCGCTGCCACCAGTGGGGCATCGTCGTCCCCATCGCCCTCATTCTCCCCCTCTGCTTCGGCCGAGGCGTGGCAGCGGCAGCAGCGCAGCGCACAGCTGGAGGCGGATGTCAGGGAGGCGCTGCTCTCGATCCTCACCATGGCCAATGAGAAGAGAGACCATCTGCCGCCTGTTCTTACATCCTCCCTCGTCTCATTCCCCTTCGAAATCTCTGTTCCAAGGTGTGTCCCATTCTCTCGCTCTGTTTCTCTTGCTGCTGGTACCAACTCTGCCACTGCAAGACGTATTACTGGGCTCTTGGGTGCGTGGCAGCAGCAGCAGCAGCGGCAGCTGTAACAGAGCAGTGGCAGCGGCAGCAGCGCAGCGCACAGCTGGAGGCGGATGTGAGGGAGGCATTACTGTCGATCCTCGCCATGGCCAATGAGAAGAGGGACCATTTGCCTCCTGTCCTCACGTCCTCCCTTGTGTCTTTCCCCTTCGAAATATCTGTCCCAAGGTGTGTAGGACCAGAAGTTGTCTCTTTCCGGTCCCCCTCCCCCCCCCCCCCACCCTCTCCCCCTCCCCCTTTCTTTTATCCCAAACATTTGCGTCTTTCGTCCTGCTTGCTATCTGCACCTGGTCGCGGAGGGATTGTCGCTTGATTCTCACTGCTTTTTTTATTTCTTCCCTTCTGCTGCCGCTACCATACCATATTCCTTGGGATGTATCATGTATGCCATTGTTCATCTGTGCAGCATGTCAGACTCGTTCGGAATGGACGTTTTGAAGAGGATGTTGCAAACAGCTCCACATCATGTGCTGGGATGATTGGTGGGTTGGTGTACATTTTTAAACTTTTGATGTGGCCATTTTGGAACTCCTAGACCAAGCATTCTTGTACATAGAAAATCATTATGTGGTCTTGTACATAGCGGGGTAATGCTCTTTGTGTGCTCTCTCTACACGAAATCCTTTGGCATGCGCTTAGTTTGTTGATATTCTTTCGTATTGCGCAGTGGGAATCCAGAATGTAGGCATTCTTGCTGAAGGCAGCTACAGCGCTCCACCAATACCGTGCATTTAGCGAGTACGAACCGTGGTTCCAGTTTCCCTGCTCAGGCGAAAGGCCTGCAGCTGACGACCATTTCTGAGGGTCACGTTCTGCCGACCGACCTTCGCACTGTCACCTTGAAGCTGCTGTTCACACATCCTATACCTATACCCCCTCTTGTCGCTACCAGGAGCACTGTCACTGTTACTTAGGGAGACTTCCCCCCCAACATCCTAGACTTTGACGTCGACTAAAAGGAGGTCATTTCCTCCGAACATGGTAGCGCGTCGCGTGCTCACTCTTCTCTCGGCTCTCGACGAGGCCTCGCTGACGTCGCTGCTGCAGCAGCATGGGGTGAAGGAGTCGCACGGCCGGACCATAATTAGGTCAGCTGGGAGCAATGAGTGGGGTTATTAGTCTTATGTTTACAATTTCAGAAGACGCCATTGTTAGCAGCAACCTGGGCTGTAGGAGTCGCATAGCTGGACCAGCCGGACCATAATTAGGTCAGCTGGGAATGGTAATTAGGTCAGGTGGGAATCTGTAAGCCGATCCATTCGACCGACGGACTGATACGTCTTGTAAGAGGTTTTGAGAATTGCTTTTGAGTCGACTCAAAAACCGACGGACTGATACGTCTTGTAAGAGGTTTTGAGAATTATCAGAAATCTCAGACGGGCTGAAACTTCCTCTTCCTCATTTTCTCAGTATTTAGTAATTTTCCCGTTCCCATTTTCGTATGTAATGAGTCGATTTTTGAGTCGACTAAAAAATCGACTCATTTTTCCCGTTCCCATTTTCGTACCCGGTCATGTCATCAGAAGTACACGTGGCCTGGGCTTTTGGACTGACATTTCGTAGCCAACCCAGCCTTGATACTCGTTTTTCAGTAACTCGTTTGCAACCTCTGTCTCCTCCCGTTATTTTCTTACGCAGCCATGTCATCAGGACACGTGGCCTGGGTTCATTCACTGACATTCCGAAGCTACCCCAGCCTCTATACTCGCTACTGGAAGATTCGTTTGCAGCTTGCTCGTCAGAAGTCGTGGACGAGCAAACATCACAGGATGGCGATACCACTAAACTCTTGATAAGGCTACAGGACGGGTTAACTGTTGAAGCGGTGATTATGCGTTACGATGCGTCAGAGGGACGTTACAACGGCTACCAGCGGCCAGGGGGAGAGAGAGCCACGCTGTGCGTGTCTTCTCAGGTATGCACATTTTCGCCCAAATCTACTCTAATTCCATCAGGCGTGTGCACTACGATGAATCAGGAGATGTTACACTGTTTCCCGGCTGCGAAGAGTGGTAGAGATTGCTTTTGAGGCGGCTCAAAAATAGACTCCTTGTGCACTACGATGTATCAGGAGATGTTACACTGTTTCCCGGCTGCAAAGAGTGGTAGAGATTGCTTTTGAGGCGGCTCAAAAATAGACTCCTTGTGCACTACGATGTATCAGGAGATGTTACACTGTTTCCCGGCTGCGAAGAGTGGTAGAGATTGCTTTTTAAAGTGGTCGTCTCAGGTGTGATCTTGCGCTGCGAATCTAGCTTCACACTAAAGCGTGGTGTGGCGTGCATGCACATCCCCAGGTGGGGTGTGCCACGGGCTCTTTCTTCTGTTCTACTGGCACACATTTCGTATCCGTGCTTGTTACTTCCACCCATTTATGCATGCGTGCAGGTGGTGGAGTGTGCCATGGGGTGTTCCTTCTGTGCCACGGGCACCATGTCTCATTCTCGCTCTGTGCATGCATGCACACGTTCATGACCGCAGGTGGGGTGTGCCATGGGGTGTTCCTTCTGTGCCACGGGCACCATGTCTCGCCCCACCAGCCTCACAGCAGGGGAGATCCTCGAGCAGCTGCTGCTGGCCTCGCAAAGAGCTCCAATCCGCAACGTTGTCTTCATGGTATGCCATTCATCTGAGGTCGTGTCTGTGTGCTTCTGGGCTGGCTCACAAAGGTCAGGCTCGCAGCAGGGGAGATCCTCGAGCAGCTGCTGCTGGCCTCGCAAAGAGCTCCAATCCGCAACGTTGTCTTCATGGTATGCCATTCATCTGAGGTCGTGTCTGTGTGCTTCTGGGCTGGCTCACAAAGGTCAGGCTCGCAGCAGGGGAGATCCTCGAGCAGCTGCTGCTGGCCTCTCAGAGAGCTCCCTTCCGAAATGTGGTGCTCATGGTACGTCGAATCATGCATGACTCGACCCTATCAGCCGTGACCCAGCAGCCCACCAGCCGTGACCCAGCAGCCCACCAGCCATGACCCAGCAGCCGTGATCCACTAGCCTTGACCCACCAGCCTTGAACCACCAGCCTCACAGCAGGGTAGATCCTCGAGCAGCTGCTGCTGGCCTCTCAGAGAGCTCCACTTCGCAAGGTTGTCTTCATGGCATTCCATTGATATGAGGTTACCAGTGTGTGCGTGCTTCTGGGCCAAGTCACAAAGGTCGGTCTCGCAGCAGGGGAGGTAGCCAAGCAGCTGCTGCTGGCATTGCAGAGCGCTCCCATCCATCCGCAATGTCGTCTTCATGGTTCATGTGCGTGTGTCAGATCCACCAAACCTGTTACAATGGAGTCGTTTTTTTAGAATCCTAAAGAATGACTCTTAATGCCGTCTTCGTCTTCAAGGTGCGTTCATGCGTGTGTGTTCACCAACCCTGTTGTTGTGTTGTGTCAACTAAAGACACTCGCCTTATGTCCCACCAAACTCCCATTCTTCCTGTTCTCCTCCAGGGAATGGGCGAGCCTTTCAACAACCATGGCGTGGTGAAAGCAGCAGTGGAATCGATGGTTCCCCCCGACGCCTTCCACGTGTATACTCTCCTGCGTTGTGATCCTCCCTTGCTTCTCCGGACGACCCTGTGTCCCCCCGTTTTTGCAGGGAATGGGCGAGCCCTTCAACAACCATGGCGTGGTGAAAGCAGCAGTGGAATCGATGGTTCCCCCCGACGCCTTCCACGTGTATACTCTCCTGCGTTGTGATCCTCCCTTGCTTCTCCGGACGACCCTGTGTCCCCCGTTTTTGCAGGGAATGGGCGAGCCCTTCAACAACCATGCTGCGGTGAAAGCAGCAGTTGAATTGATGGTTGCTCCCTATGGCTTTCACTTGTCCCCCAACCATATAACAGTCTCCACAGTATGTTCCCAACCTAAGCCTATCACAGCTCACCCAATCATAAAACAGTCTCCGTAAATCTCTTTCCCGATCCCATCTTCGACTTCGTTGTTCCGTGTTTTCGTCGCTTCCCTTACTCCTTCCAAAGCCCCCTTTCCTTCATGTAACGTTTCATCGCAATCGTTGCCCTTCACACACTCCTTGCCTCCAACCATCAGGTGGGCGTGGTTCCTCGCATCCGCTCCTTCGCGTCTGCCTTCCCCTCGGTCAATCTCGCTCTCTCGTTGCACGCCCCCTCGCAAGCCCTCCGGATCTCCATTGTTCCATCGGCTCGGGCCTATCCATTGGAAAAGGTCATGCAAGCTATTGACGAATACCAAAGGGACAGGTACTGTGAAAAAATACAACTTAGCAATACGTACTGATGTGGAATCACACATTGGCATAGTGGGGGTTGCCCATTTGAACAAGTCGGTTTTTTCTTTCTTTCTTTCTTTTTACTTTTCTTTTTTTCTCCCTGTTTTATTTTGACTTCATTCCTGGTTCTTGTATTTTGTGTGTGCAGTGGCCGGCGAGTCTTTATCGAGTACATCTTGCTAGGAGGGGTCAATGATGGCATCAACATTGCACACGAGCTTGGGACATTGCTACAATCACGCGATGTGGTAAATGTTTTGCATCGTCAATTTTCTCTTTTTCCCCTTGCCGTGTCTACATTCATCGACTATACTCACTTTTGCCATCATTTCAATTTGTTCAATCATCGTATTGTGCTTGATAATCTTTGTTATCTTGTTCGCTCTCCGTTTTTCCCCCCCCGCTTGTAATCATGTGTCGACTGTGTTTGCCTGTTCTTTCAGGTGGTTAATCTCATTCCATACAATCACACGGACGTAGTAGCTCAGTATCGCCCTTCCACCCCTGAGGCTGCAGAAGGCTTTCAGAAGGTGTTACGGGGAAGTTACGGGCTGCGCACCACTATCAGGCGCGAGAAAGGGAATGATATTGCAGGAGCTTGTGGTCAACTGGCAGTTAAAGCTGGAACGGGTGGGGACTCTCGGGTTTTAAGTGAGGGGATTAAAGAGGGGGTTGATGCTCTTATGGGTGTTGAAGGGGATTCCCTCAGCAATGGCAAAACATGTGGTAGTAGGGGAGGCGTTAGGGCGGAGAAAAAGGCTTGCGGAGGCGCAAATGGTACCTTGCTAGATATTGAAGACATTGGTTGATTTCGATTCAAAAGTGTATTGAATCTTGAAATATCCATCACATCCTAGAAGTTGGATTGGATCATATAGAGGTCGAGGGAAAAAAACGTATCTGAGCGTATAATAGGAGTGATGCGGTACTACTCCGCAACTTCGCTCCGCAGCTTTTACCGGGTACAGAAACTCCTGGTTGGTGCTTGCACCTGGCCAGGAACCTAGATCATGCTCTCGTGTCCACAGAAACCTTTTCGGTTGTACGGCGTGAGTGGCGTAGCATTTCCGGCCAATAGCGGCCGGGCGTTGCTTTGCGGGGAAGTGCTACTGTACCTTGCTTTGCGGAGCGGTTGCTGGTGGAAAGTGCTACGTCGTGGGGAATTCCTAGGTTGCTACGTGCTACGGCGCGTCAGTAGCGAACTCCGAACAGTCTTCTTGTAGGTCCTTGAGAATTGTATCATACAAAATACGAGTTCGGCGGATAACTCTAAAAAGCGTACTCCTCTCCGCCGTTCGCTCAGCAAAGTTGCCCTGTTTGACTACCAGAAGATTTTGCCTCCAACGATAAACTTCCGTCGCAGCCGGCTGTCGCTGCATTCGCCATGGCGTCGCACGTCGCATGCCGTCCGTTTTCTGCGAATATAGCACTGAGCGAAGGTCGCACGGTCGCAACTTGTCGCCAGGAAAATCGCCCGCCAACCCTGTCGCCAGCTCCGACGTGGACCCCATTGCGCGATTCTCACGTGCGAAAAGCACGAGCGACAACTGGTCGCTGTGCGACAAGCCAGCGACGCAGAGTCGTCGTTGCGACGGCCTTCGGGTCGCCGTGGCCGACATCGGCCGCATCTTCCGCCGGAAAGCCCGCTGATTCGCAAGCGCCCGGTACCGTCGCGAGACTCCCCGTTGCTGCGAAGAGCGCGAGCGGCGCAACAGGCGAACCAGCGGGAGGAGCAGCAACAGGAGGAGCAGGAGGAGGAGGAGGAGGGGCGGCAACGGAAACAGCAGGAGCAGCAGGAGCAGTGCCGGAAAGTCCGCCGTACAAGCCGGGTCTGCTCGGTCCGCTCTTTCTCGCCATGTTCAGGCGGCAGTTGGTGGAGGTGAGAACTGGTGGGGGTGAGAGGTGGTGGATGTGAGACGTGGCGGGGGTGAGAAGCGGTGGGGGTGAGAACTGGTGGGGGTGAGAAGTGGTGGGGTTGGTGGGGGTGAGAAGTGGTGGGGTGAGAATTGGTGGGGGTGAGAATTGGTGGGAGAGAGACTCTCATTCATCCCCTGCTCTCACTCTTTCTATCTCATGTCTCGGTTAGTCTCATTCGCTCTTCGTATTGTTTTGACGTGCCTAAGAACTAGGCGTCCCTGACATGTGTCTCATGTCTCGGTTAGTCTCATCTCATTCGCTCTCCGCACGCAGGCAGTGGGGTGGAGCTCGCCCAAGGAAGGATACGCGGGGATGATAGAGGAGGCGAGGCGACTGCTGCTCATGCACTCCGATCGTAAAAAGAGCGAGGAGGCGGCGGTGAGTTGGGCTCTTTAACCAGTAAGTGAGTTGTTGCACGTAGGTGGGATCCCAGGGATCGTCACGTCACTCATTGGAGGCATGTTATCTTTCTCTTTTTTTTTTTTTTTTTTTTTGAGGCGCCTCAAAAATGACAATCCCTGGGATCTCACTTCCCTGTGAATCTTTGATAAACGCACTTCGAGCTGCAGGACGACACCGTGAGGACAGCCTCGTCAAATGTGCCGCAGATATATGAGACTCAGATATATGACTCCGATTATATCTGTTTTCTCACCTCCTTTCTCTTGCCAGGTCACTCTTCTGCGAACCATGCTCCCGCCCGTCCTCCTCCCTGCCTTCGTTAGACTCGTCCTTTTGTCAATGCAAGGAGAGTAAGCCTCTTCCTCTCTTCACTTTCCCCCATTCCCTTCCCCTGCCTCTCGTCAGGTCACCATTTTCCGGAGATTTCTCCCGCCCTTCCCCCTCCCTCTCTCTCACTCTCCCTTTCCCCCCCAGCCTTCCTCCTACCTTTCCCATCAGGTCATCATCCTTTCCTCCTCCCTCTCTCACTCACTCTCCCTAGTTCTCCCTCCCCTCTCTCCCCCCTCCCTTTCTCCTCCTACCTTTCACACCAGGTCATCATCCTGCGGAAACTGTTTCCGCCCTTCCTCTTGCCTCTTTTCAAGAAGTACTTCGCTCCTCTGTGGAATGGCCGCATCGCCGCTGTTCTCTGCGGTACGTAGATAGGGGAACTTGCCGCGACATGCTAACGTGTGAACTTGCGGCGACATGCTAATGTGTGAACTTGCCGCGACATGCTAATGTGTGCGAACTTGCGGCGACATGCTAATGTGCGAACTTGCGGTAACAAGCTAGCATGCAAACCATGCTCCCGCCGTTTCTTCCTGCCTCTTTTCGAAAAGTACTTCGCTCCTCTGTGGATTGGCCGCATTGCCGCTGTTCTCTGCGGTAAGCCGATTGGAGCGTGTTGACATGCACCCAACCAGCCACGCATGCTCCCATCACATGCGGGAACATGCAGAGCGGGAGCGGTTGCTGGTTGTCGAGAATTGGTTTTTGAGAATTCTCAAAAACCAACTCACATCACATGCAGGCACAAGAGAGGGAGCAGTTGCTGCGCTGCTTGCTGCTGTGCTCTGTGGTGCGTTGGTTTCTGCGTTGCTTGCTTGCTCCTCAGATGTCCTGTTCCACTGCAGTGGAGTCATCTTTGAGAATTCTAAAAAATGAAGTGAACCTATGTGTCTGCTTTGCTCTGTATGGTAAGCTATTTGGAGGTTATTTCTTTAGTCGACTAAAAAATCACCTTTTAATCGACTCTGTGTGGTAAGCTATTTGGGGGATCATAACTAGGTTGGTCAGTTACGTGCCTCTCATAACATGCGATAACACGGCACCTTTACTCCTTTACCCCTCCCTCCCTCCCTCCCTCCCTCCCTCCTCCCTCCCTCCCTCCCTCCCTCCCCTCCCTCCCTCCCTCCCTCCCTCCCTCCCTCCCTCCCTCCCTCCCTCCCTTCCTCACTCCCTCCCTCCCTTCCTCACTCCCTTCCTCCCTCCCTCCCTCCCTCCCTCCCTCCCTCCCTCCCTCCCTCCCTCCCTCCCTCCCTCCCTCCCTCCCTCCCTCCCTCCCTCCCTCCCTCCCTCCCTTCCTCACTCCCTCCCTCCCTTCCTCACTCCCTTCCTCCCTCTCTCCTTCCCCCGTTCCCTCACTATCTCCCTCACTCCCTCCCTCACTCCCTCCCCCCCAGCGTGGGTGACGCACTTCACGTGCCAGTGGCTCATGGGGCCGACAAAAGTGGTGGAGATCGAGCTGGAAGATGGGTCCAAGCAGGGGTCTGGGGTGAGTTTGTTTGTGCACATGTGTAAAGGTGAACAAGGCATGGTTCATACATGGGGGCGGTGACAGACAGGCATGCCAGTGGCTCATGGGGCCGACAAAAGTGGTGGAGAGAGAGGTGGAAGACGTGTCCAAGCTGGGGTCTGGGGTGAGTTTGTTTGTGCACATGTGTAAAGGTGAACAAGGCATGGTTCATACATGGGGGCGGTGACAGACAGGCATGCCAGTGGCTCATGGGGCCGACAAAAGTGGTGGAGAGAGAGCTGGAAGACGTGTCCAAGCTGGGGTCTGGGGTGAGTGTTTATAGTCAGACCGCCAGGTGCGGTGGGTAGGTGTGGGGAAGGGGGGCATGTTGAACTTGGTGGTTCTGCCAGTGGCTGCTTTTGAGTCGACTCAAAAGCTGATGGTTCTGCCATTGGCTCATGGGGCCGACAAGGGTTGTGGAGATCGAGATGGAAGAATGGGTCCAAGCTGGGGTCTGGCTTGAGTGTGTATAGTCACAAAGAATGGGTGTATGGAGAAAGATGGGTGTGTGGTAGCGACATGGCAGGTCAGTGGCTTGTGTGTTCTGCAGCAGGGGTGGCAGTAGCGAGCAACCCCCCTTCTCCTGTTTTCTTGCATCCCTCCCTGTCAGCCTCATCCCCCCTTTCCTTCTCATCCCTCCTCTGCGCTTCTGCATTTCTTCCTCCCATGGCCAGGTGACGGTTGAGAAGTGCAAGTTTCTGGACATCCCGTGCCCCCCCCCCCCCCTCCCCCCCCCCCGTCTCATCCCGCCGTCCCTTTTTGTCTCATTCCCTCTCTTTTGAGCTGACCCTTCCCCTCTCCTTCTTTCCTCCCCCCACCACCAGGTGAAGATTGAAAAGTGCAAGTTTCTGGATGAGACGAGCTGCGCGGGAAGCTGCATCCACACGTGCAAGATGCCCACACAGGCGTTTCTGTTTGGGGACATGGGAGTGCCGCTTCTTATGGAGCCCAACTTTGAGGACTTCAGCTGCGAGGTGAGTCAACCAGTTGTCTGGTTAAGCTCGGAGTGTAGCTTTATAGCAGCTACACAAGGGGTATCGCTGCGAGGGAACGCTGGTAGCGCTGGTAACAATCTTTGAGGCCCCTCAAGAATAGTCTCAGTTCACGTGCAAGATGCCCATGCAGGCGTGTCTGTGTGGAGACATGGGATGGGAGTGCCACTCCTTATGGAGCCCAACTTTTAGGGCTTCCGCTGCGAGGTATCGTGGGTTACTCTGCTAACTCCGGTAACAATCTTTGAGGCCCCTCACGAATATTCTCAGTTCTCATGCAAGATGCCCACACAGGCGTTTTTGTTTGGGGACATGGGAGTGTCACTTCTTATGGAGTGTAGCTTTATTGCAGCTACACAAGGGAGCAGCCTTCTTATGGAGCCCAGTTTTGAAGATTTCAGCTGTGAGGTAACTTGGGTTAGCTCTGGTAACTCTCGTCTTCTTATTTGGGCGTTTCTGTTTGTACCTGGCCCAAGCGTACCACGTCTCATGGAGACCAACTTTGGGAACTTCAGGTGAGAGGTAACTCTGATAGCTTTGGTAACTTTGTAGCCGAGTGTACCAAGTTATTCTTGGTTAACCAGTTTCCTGGTTATTCTTGCCTCTCTTTCCAGTCCCCCACTCCCATCCCCCCCTCCCATCCCCCCCCCCACCCCTCCCTCCCATCCACCCCCCCACCCCCCCTTCCTGTCGAAGAGA